CTACAGCACAATTTCAGACCTCTGGTGCTACAGCACAATTTCAGACCTCTGGTGCTAAAGCACAATTTCAGACCTCTGGTGCTAAAGCACAATTTCAGACAGCTGGTGCTACAGCACAATTTCAGACAGCTGGTGCTACAGCACAATTTCAGACAGCTGGTGCTACAGCACAATTTCAGACAGCTGGTGCTACAGCACAATTTCAGACAGCTGGTGCTACAGCACAATTTCAGACCTCTGGTGCTAAAGCACAATTTCAGACCTCTGGTGCTAAAGCACAATTTCAGACAGCTGGTGCTACAGCACAATTTCAGACAGCTGGTGCTACAGCACAATTTCAGACATCTGGTGCTACAGCACAATTTCAGACCTCTGGTGCTAAAGCACAATTTCAGACAGCTGGTGCTACAGCACAATTTCAGACAGCTGGTTCTATAGCACAATTTCAGACAGCTGGTGCTACAGCACAATTTCAGACAGCTGGTGCTACAGCACAATTTCAGACAGCTGGTGCTACAGCACAATTTCAGACCTCTGGTGCTACAGCACAATTTTAGATCTCTGGTGCTAAAGCACAATTTCAGACAGCTGGTGCTACAGCACAATTTCAGACCTCTGGTGCTACAGCACAATTTCAGACAGCTGGTGCTACAGCACAATTTCAGACCTCTGGTGCTACAGCACAATTTCAGACATCTGGTGCTACAGCACAATTTCAGACAGCTGGTGCTTATCATTAGTGCATTTCTTGATCCTCAATCTAATGTATTGTAAGCTTAAGATGACATCACCCCCCTCCCCCGTAGGCCCTCAACAAGCAAAAGATTACCTACCCCTCCCCTGTGAGTCGGCAGCAAGCCTGTATGTGCCAGATATATCAGCGGGTGACAGACAGCCCTTGATGTTCCATTTGTTGTCTTGTTGCTAGTCAAGTTCCAGGGAGTTGAAGGACCAGCTGATGATGTAATTGAAGGATAAGCTGATGATGTAGTTGAAGGATGTACTGGCCAGCTGAGGATGTAGTTGAAGGATGTACTGTGATATATTTGTGTCAAATCTATCTATATACTACTAAAAGTCAACTTTGTTTACATGTTTGAATATTTATTTGTTTGCCTGATCGAAAATTGTGATATGTTCGACTCTATCTGGAAAGCTGTAAAATGGTATGCAGGTAGAGAATAATTTTTTAATGCAGACAGACTGTTGATCACACATTTATTTAAAGACGTTAATTAATTTATTGATTTATTCCTACGCAGAATAACCCATTTTTTTTAAAATGTTAGAACCTTGACTAAACTTTGTGGGAATAGTGACGTCACAGGTTTTTGTTTACTCTTTAGTACAATAAAATGGCGGCGTCTATTGAAGAAAATTGTGTTCCCATTCAAAAGTTTAACGCGTTCTAAATCTAATTTTCTGTCGGTCATAACTTTAACAATACGTCCGTTTGCTGTATTTATTACGTTCCAACACTTATATCAATTTTCAACTGTCTTTTTCATTTAGTTTTACGATAAATTTCTCTAGATCTAAAGATCAGCTATCGAAGGAAATTTATGAATCTAGCCTAGATCTAGATCTAGCCTAGATGTAGGTCACTAGATTCAATGTAAATTCTACATCTAGAATCTATTTCAGGCCTTAATTATTTTATATAAATCTTTGTTTGGCTTATTTAAGATAAAATTTAATTTGAAAGTTAGTACTACTAGACTTATTTTTAGATCTAGATCTAGAATCTATACGCGTAAATCAAGTTGCATAAGGAGACACATAGTATAGTATAAAAATTCACTTGTGACGTCACGAGTAAATAGCTAAAATGGTAGCGTAGTCAGCTCTCATGCAGGAGGCACGGGTTCTAGACCAATATGTCAGTGAAATTTTTTTTTTCAATTTTTTTTTTAGATGTGAATGATAACGTTGCCTATCTGAACTTGGCAAGATACAGGGCAGGTGAAGTAGAGTTCATCTGTTTCTTTGTCCTAAGCATATGAAAGGATAGTGTGGTCAGATACATGCTCGGCTGGAATTGTTTTTTAAACGATAAAAACATGTTGTCTGAGACTTGGCAGGACACTGGGCAGGTGAAGTAGAGTTGAGTAGGTCACCTGTGACGTCAGTTTATGAAGGGATAGTCCGAAATCGGTGTTTTCGGTGTTTTTAAAAGATAAAAAACATATATTTGAATGTGGGGTCTGTTTTTTGTGACGATAAGTGACACTGCAGTAGCGTACCGAGGAGGGGGGGGGGACGGTAGGGGAGGGGAGGCGGGGGTGGGGAGGGGAGGCGGGGGGTGGGGAGGGGAGGCGGGGGGTGGGGAGGGGAGGGGAGGCGGGGGGGAAGGGGGGGTGGGGAGGTGGAGGGGGGAAGGGGGGGGGACATATGTTGGGGCGCCAAAATGGTTTGGAAAAATAAATTGATAGGTTGAGGGGGGTTCAAATCGAAAGTTTGAGTGGGGGGGGGGGGGGGGTGCACATCAAAAGTTTGAGGGGGGGGGGGGGGTTCAAATCGAAAACTTTGTCCCCGGGCGCCGGGAAGGGTCGCTATGCCTCTGAGTGACAGACGTGATGTTTTTTGATGGATGACCCCCGAAACCCACAGTTATCCAACGGATGACGGGTATTCTAGTATACTACTAAAAGTCAAGTTTGTTTACATGTTTGAATATTTATTTGTTTGCCTGATCGAAAATTGTGATATGTTCGACTCTATCTGGAAAGCTGTAAAATGGTATGCAGGTAGAGAATAATTTTTTAATGCAGACAGACTGTTGATCACAAATTTATTTAAAGACGTTAATTAATTTATTGATTTATTCCTACGCAGAATAACCCATTTTTTTTTAAAATGTTAAAACCTTGACTAAACTTTGTGGGAATAGTGACGTCACAGGTTTTTGTTTACTCTTTAGTACAATAAAATGGCGGCGTCTATTGAAGAAAATTGTGTTCCCATTCAAAAGTTTAACGCGTTCTAAATCTAATTTTCTGTCGGTCATAACTTTAACAATACGTCCGTTTGCTGTATTTATTACGTTCCAACACTTATATCAATTTTCAACTGTCTTTTTCATTTAGTTTTACGATAAATTTCTCTAGATCTAAAGATCAGCTATCGAAGGAAATTTATGAATCTAGCCTAGATCTAGATCTAGCCTAGATGTAGGTCACTAGATTCAATGTAAATTCTACATCTAGAATCTATTTCAGGCCTTAATTATTTTATATAAATCTTTGTTTGGCTTATTTAAGATAAAATTTAATTTGAAAGTTAGTACTACTAGACTTATTTTTAGATCTAGATCTAGAATCTATACGCGTAAATCAAGTTGCATAAGGAGACACATAGTATAGTATAAATATTCACTTGTGACGTCACGAGTAAATAGCTAAAATGGTAGCGTAGTCAGCTCTCATGCAGGAGGCACGGGTTCTAGACCAATATGTCAATGAAATTTTTTTTTTCAATTTTTTTTTTTAGATGTGAATGATAACGTTGCCTATCTGAACTTGGCAAGATACAGGGCAGGTGAAGTAGAGTTCATCTGTTTCTTTGTCCTAAGCATATGAAAGGATAGTGTGGTCAGATACATGCTCGGCTGGAATTGTTTTTTAAACGATAAAAACATGTCTGAGACTTGGCAGGACACTGGGCAGGTGAAGTAGAGTTGAGTAGGTCACCTGTGACGTCAGTTTATGAAGGGATAGTCCGAAATCGGTGTTTTCGGTGTTTTTAAAAGATAAAAAACATATATTTGAATGTGGGGTCTGTTTTTTGTGACGATAAGTGACACTGCAGTAGCGTCCCGAGGAGGGGGGGGGGGACGGTAGGGGAGGGGAGGCGGGGGGTGGGGAGGGGAGGCGGGGGGTGGGGAGGGGAGGCGGGGGGGGGAAGGGGGGGTGGGGAGGTGGAGGGGGGAAGGGGGGGGGACATATGTTGGGGCGCCAAAATGGTTTGGAAAAATAAATTGATAGGTTGAGGGGGGTTCAAATCGAAAGTTTGAGTGGGGGGGGGGGGGGGGTGCACATCAAAAGTTTGAGGGGGGGGGGGGGGTTCAAATCGAAAACTTTGTCCCCGGGCGCCGGGAAGGGTCGCTATGCCTCTGAGTGACAGACGTGATGTTTTTTGATGGATGACCCCCGAAACCCACAGTTATCCAACGGATGACGGGTATTCTAGTATTATAGATAAATGAATAATAAACCTAAATCAATGTCTAAATATATCAATATAGGCAAGAAATTAATTTTAAGCAACAGTGTTTGCGAGCAGGATTTGCTATATAAAAAGCGACCATCTGTAAGTTAGAGTGGCTTCCCCTGAATCTTGCGCTATAAGTTTAGAATTAAAACAAAATAAACGAGATGGCTGCTATAGTAAATGAGCATGGTTGGAAACATCGCTAGTCTTCATTTATTACTGAAAAATTTAATTCAGTTGTTCAAAAAACAGGTACATAAATGAAACAAGGAAACATGTTTGTATTTTTCAAAACATAAATCCTCCTAAAATTTAAGGAGTCACCTGTTTTTCACATTACTAGTCGCGGGCGATTTTACGTACCTAAAACCTTATTTTGAAATATTTTCTAATAATACAATCAAATTAAGTATCGGTAGGCCTTAGCTATTAATAGTATTCATTGTATTAATATTGTAACTGGGTTTAGACTAGTTTAGAGCAACTTGTTACGGATTCAAATAAATAGCCTAATAAAGAGTTGTACGCTTCTTTAAAAAAATACAATTTAACGCAAGCTTTATTTTTCTTCATGCCACCCTACATGTCCTACATCTTGTAGTCTATCAATTTTCCTTGTTTACGATTTAAAAAAGAACAACAGCGGAAGCAACTTCTCTTTTTATTTTTTACTTTTTTTTATTTTACTGATTTAATAAAAAAAATATTCTCATTTGGTTTGAAAAAAACAAAAATATGCTAGCTGGCAAGTACTATTGTTTTACCGGTTTTTTTAAACTGCTAGATCTATAACTAGTATAACATTGGTGATTACGGAGTAATTCTGATAGTTAAAATTTAAATTAGTCTAAGCCCCTAGATTGTAGTTGGCGATAAGCGTGTTGCTGAAAATGCTATTTGGTAAATCTTTTTTTTAACCCACGAACTGTCAAATTTCCAGACATCGTCACGATCCACGCGTGGCAGACGGCTCGCTCGCTCGCGCTGTTTTATCAGCGAGCTTAGCATCGCCCGCCACAGCACACAAAGTGAAACTCCATTTTTAGCGTATTTAATCCCCGCTCCAGATGAGCGTATTTTATTATAAACACAACCGAAACACACAAAAACGTTAGGAAAACACTAGGACTATAGATCTAGATTTCTATTTTTTAATGCATTCATTTACTTTACTTTTGTCAAAACTTGAGATAAATCAAAATTTGGAATATTGTGAAATTGTATTTGTATGTATGTGCACTATTGAGATCTAGAATCTAGATTGAGCTTTTTTTTTTACTCTAAAAATATGTCAGTGTCGACTGTCACTAGATCTAGAATCTGGTGTCAGCTAAGATTTTCATGGCGATGGGTAAAGTACGAAAGTCATAATTGCAAGGCCATTACGTTTAGTTTGTATTGTTAAAAGTATCTGGCTTTACTTTCTCATATAGAGAAAGTCTTGTAATCGTGCAAAAAAAAAATCGAGATTTTTACAAATCTCGACGTTTTACACCTCACTGATACGGAAAAACATAATTTTGCAATCTTGTCCGTATGTCTGTCTGTCTGTGTGTAAACACGATAACTTGAGTACCGTTACAGCTAGGTTGATGAAATTTCATATATAAGTATTTTATCAAAATCGTAGATCCTGATCAACTTTTGAGCGATTTCCGATAACCGGAAGTGGTACTTTTTCTACTTTGAATTTTTCAAAAGCCTATAACTTGAGTACTATTTCAGATAGATAAATGAAATTTCACATGTAAGTAAAAGATTTAATTCTCTACATTCTTTCAAATTTTGAGTAATTTCCGTTGACCTGAAGTACTAATTTACGCTATTTCCGATTTCTCAAAAAACGCATGTAAATTTATAAAGTACTAATAATATTGCGCACTATTATGCACATTTTGTTTTGGCGTTCGCTTGGTGCACAATTCTTTTTTCTATGAGATTCTATTCTATTGTTTTCAAAGTTTAAGTAATTAAAAATCATGTCTATATTCCAAGTTATATAAGAATATTCGAGAAAGTTTAGGGGAGATCACTCCCGGTTTATTTAAATATTGTAGGGATTAAATACAAACTTTAAAGTGTGTTCCGTTTTGATACACTGGGCAGAGTTCACTTCATTGTAAAGTTGTCTTGAAGTCTCTCATGTCTTAATTACCTGCATTCACGCCGCCCGGTAGTACCATCGAGTAACACATAAATAAGGTGTAGCTGGCTGTCACTTGGTTCCCTCCCTCAATTTAGACACAAACCTCCTATTGTACTTGAATCTGGAGACTTTTTTTTTTTGGATTTTCCATCCGATAAGCATAAATTTAAGTGCACAGTCTGCGTGATCCTTTACCTCACCCCACCAACTTTCACCCACCCCAAAGCACCTACTCATTATCTTTATTGGGGGCACATAATATAGACCCAGTTTTATTTCAATTAATAGTAGAGCCATCTGTAGAGTAATTGAGCCCAAATTGATGTAATGAAATGTGGGGGTGGGTTCAGGCCATGGTCAACATTAGTGGATTTCCCCCACCTGAACTCGACAGAAGGCGTTACCTGGGTGTTAAATTTGGGAAAACACGTCCAAGTTGTAGGGAGGGTCTAACACAGCGAAGTGAAGGGTTAGACACGGACCGATGTTTTAGAGTACCTAGCATCACATCTCCTTACTTAAAGTTAAAGCATTGACTTTTTGACCGAGTGGTTTAGAGATTTTTAAAATGTGAAACATCTCTTGTTCAGGCACACTCTCGCCTGTATCAATTGCACTATAGGAATTCCCAAACAGGCCAAAAGAGAAGGAGCCTATTAATAAAGGTGTTACCGCTGTCCCGCACCGTAATACAAGACCGGATGAGACTCTATTGTAGGGCAAGGCATACCCCCTCACACCCGACATGTACCCCAACTGTCTCCCCGCCCAGAAGTTTCACCCATTAAAAAATTTAGTTATTTGTTCCTTGGGATTCAGCCATATTCAATGTTTTTATCTTGATAAGTACAATTATTTAAAATGCTTTTCTATTTGTATTAACTTTAATTTTTAATTGAGCTTTATATATAGGCATATATATATATATATATATATATATATATATATATATATATATATATATATATATATATATATATATATATATATAGAGGGGGCATTTATGTAATTAATCATGGTGAATATCCTGGTGGTTGGTCGTTTTTCGTTACAGTTTTTCCTGAGAGTGCTCCACATAAAATGCTTGTATTAATTAGAACTACATATTTCGCAAATTTTTAAGGCATAGATCCATTTCTTTAGCATCTCGCATTAAAATAAATATGAGATTTTGCGAGATTAGCAGTTTTTTCATTTGTTGTATATAGGACCCCCCTCCTAAAAAACAAACTTAAAATACTAAATAAAAACGGAGGGTGCCGTTTCAGGGTCAGGTTTTGACTTCCGGTTTTGGTAACGAGACCAACTACTAATTAGTAATGTAAGCCTAGGCCAAAGGCTAAAAAAAAAATGAAATTTACCAAAAGCACGATACATAATTAAATAAGTAAATATAGTAATTAATAGGCCAACTCTCATTGATTTCCCAATTTGTAGTATGGGGGCTTTTATTGTCAAAACAAATATCTGTTATCCCATTGCCCGGTTGAAAGACCGATAATTTAGCTTAATTAGCCTTTATAATAACGTGAAAAAAATAGACAAATAACAAGTACCCATTTTTAAAAAAAACAATAGCCTAGCAACAGTCTCTTTCTCAATGGCAATGGTGTCATGTCTAAAAATAAATGTTCGGTGACTTTCTAATGGCTCAGATTTCACCAAAAAATTCAATTTTTCTTTCCATAGAAAGTTCAATCTAATAATGGCACTCACACTAGCTTTTACTATACGTGTCACAGTATTATGGGATGGCGTAGTCTAGTGGTAAAGAACTAGACTGCTGACCCGACTAAAAACCATAGCGGGCCTAAGAACGTGATGACGCGCTTTTGACGGAGAGCCCCCCCCCCCCCCCTTGCTCCACGCCCAACACGGCCGTGATGACGCATGTGGATAGAACTGCCTACTAATTCGGTCCAAATTTTAATTAATTCATAAAAAATTAATTAGGCAACCAATTAAGACAAATTGAATGTCACGATGCATTGTCTTCATGTCTGGACCCACGTACCAATTACGAACCGTATCTGTTAGTTAGAAGTGCCTGCAATTTCACACGGCCGTTTCGATCCAGATAGACTGACGACAGACTGACGAGGAAGCAAGTTAAATAAAAGCTTGTAAAAAATATGGTGTTTGAGTGACCCAATTGAAATAGCATGTATTTGTATTAGCAATAAAAAAAAGTCATGGAATTTCATTCTTAAAAAAGTTGTGTAAACCTTGATTCAATTTTTCCGTAGATTTTGATAATTTTAGCATTTATCCTATTTTAGATCTAGAATGTACTATAATAAAGGCAAGGTATAGTGTGACCTAGCAGTAGAGCGCTAGACTGCTAACCCTTAAGTCTCGAGGTTGAATATGGGTTCCAGTTTGTAGTGTCCTTGAGTCCACCCAGCTCTGGTGGGTACCTAACTCATGTTAGGGATAGTAAAGGCAGCTGAGCATTGTTCTGATCACACTCACTATCTCTTCATATGTGGAGGTCACAGAAACAGGTGAACTCTACATTACTTGCCTCATGGACTGTTACTGTTAGGTTCAAAAAAGGGAACTTTACTGATGGAGGCGCCTTAGTTTGACCATTGTTGTAGGCCGTAAAAAAAACAATTAAAAAAAAAACCTAAGCCTGAAAATAATTTAGAAATGCAAAATTGTAGAACTTGTGTTATAAGTATTGCAAACCCAGAGAGCTTAAAATAAATTTTTAAGTTTAATTTAAGTCTACATTTTTATTTATTTTTGTCAAGCCAAAGTTATAAATGTCTTCCAGGAACTGCGATCGATATTGTGAGAAATCCTACTTCACGAAACGCTCATAGTAATTAGTTCTCAAAACTTTGCTGATACAATTTTTTATCTTTGTAGGAATAAAATTATTTGCCAACACAAACACCAAGCTCATAATAAACACTAGGATCAAGCTGACAAGAGCCATACTGAACAATGGTAAATCTTAAGATTAAAATTTTTAAAATTATTTTTGCTAATTATATGAAATAAGCTAGTTATTTTGATTTTTTTTGGAAATTTTTAAAATTATTTTTGCTAATTTGACATTCATCATGTTTTGTTACAGCCCTCAATGATGATGTTGAAGTACTATTCTCAAATCAATATTCTAACAATATTCTTTTGACGAAACTTAGCATAGACGACCCAGAGGAGAAATTTGATGATATTCTCACAACTGGTGAAGAAATAACTTTCCATACTGTAGGAGGTACATTATATTATTTTAAACTTGAACATAATGTTTGGTACGTATATTATCTCAATTTATAATTCCAATTCTCATTTTTTTTCTACTCTAAGGAACCATCTCTCTAATAGGGTATTTCTTAGACGTGGAACATTTCGCGGACGTGAAACGTATGTAGTAGCTTGATAAAATATTTAAATTAGTTTTTCTTTAAGTATTCTGTTGTGAAATTAAATTTATTATGGATCTAACAGACATGCCTACCCCTGTCAGCCAAAAGTAGGAACAGTCATGCCTAAAAAGAGGAACATACGCGCTGCGCTACTTTACTAAGTCAAAAATAAAAATAATTGATTAAAAATTACTCTAATGACATTAGTAGGCTTCAATTTATATATAAATAGTCTCTAGGCTACATTTAAATACTGCTTAATGTCAGCTTACATTTTTTTAAAAAAAAGTTAACTAGTAACCTGAGACCCCCCCCCCCTCCCCCAATAAAAACCATACCTTTGACAAAAAACTTATTGATTTGATTATTTATGCCTTGCTATGTTCTAGGCTAGGTTCTATATAAATAACAAATGCTGAAGGCTTCATCATATGTAATAAAATATATAATATAAGTTATTTAGACAGAACGTAGTCGCCATAGTGTTCACGGGAAAAAAGACCAGGGCACCAAATCGCATCCTGCCGGGGGCCGCCCTTGCAAAATTAAATTCCCCCTCCCCCCAACACCCACCCAACCCCCCTCCCACCCCAGAAACCTTCTCGGGATTATTCATAATCTCCCTAAAGTTTTATGGCACCCGGATAAACTGTCAAACCGCAATCGTCTTTTATTTTTATAAACCGAATATAGAGAAAAAAACAAATCGCGCCACCCCTGCGAATTTGAAATCTATTTTCCCCGCAGAAACCTCCCCAGAAATTTTCTTAGCAACTTCTCAAAGTTTCATGGCGATTGTGTGATCAGTGTAAATTCACTTTTATTATTTTTATATACCACATGTAGAGAAAAATCGCACCCTCCCGAGGATTTTTGCGCAGAAACCTCCCCAGGAATATTCTCAACATCTTCCCAAAGTTTCATTGCGATAGCGTGAACAGTGTAGTAATCCATAAAAGACAGATACACAGACAGACATACATTGCTTTATATGTATAGAAGAACAAAGACCCTTGATCTACCTAGTAAAAGCCCTAGTTACTTCTTACTAAGTTCTTCATAATAGTGGTTACTAGTTAAGTAACAACTTACAAGATAGACCAGTATTCACTATTTCAGTATCTACTAGTAGATCTAGTTACAATTCTAGATCTAGTAGTAGTAGATATACTTCTAGCTTGATCTAGTATTATATGATACTTGTAAATATTGTAAGTAAACTAGGAAACAGAAACGTATGCCAAAGGGAAATAATCGCTTTTCCCTGCCTTTTTTCCAATTCACTTTATTACCTTTCTTTATTAATCTTTTTTTTTTTTTTTAAATCGGAACAGCAAAGTCGAAATGACAGAACAATTACTTTTTTAGGTGAAAAAGCGGGACGGTCCCGATTTTGGCGTGATGGTAGGCATGTCTGCTAAAATTTATAATATAAATAAAAATTTATTTCAGATGTGGCCCATTGAATGACATTTTAAAATGTTTTCTGTTTTATATTTTCAGCACCCGTTGTTCAGGTCGAGCCTTTCTTTCAGCATAATTTGGTAAAGTTGTTTTTTTAATCAGTTATTTTAATACTGACCTATGCATAATATGTTATCATAAGTTATGGCCATTATTTTGTTTCACAATTTTGAATTTAGGTTAAGTGATGGGTAGGTATTTTTAAACTTTTATTTTATTCTGGGATGTGATTACAGTTACAGAACAGAATTACATTTTGAAATTTTCATTCTTAAGAAAAATCGTAGAAAATGAACCACTAGTGATAGACAACGAGAAAAAATATAAAACAATACTTATTATTTGCCTCCATTACTCTGCATAAACCCACTGTACATAAACTCACTATACATAGTAGGGCAACCACAGGCAGACCAGACAGTAGCACACACAAAAATTCTTGGCGACTATGGGCGCATAGGACTGTTAAGGGTTAAGAATCTACATATTTCTCCCCAATTAGTAACAAGCCAGCCAATTAAATTTCAGCCTATACTGCACAAAATGGAGTAATGTAATGCCTGGCTATTTAATCAAGTATAGATGGCAGCTGGGGTTTAAATATTTAAGTTAAATTTATTATGGATAATTAATTTACTAAAACTTTTAGTAAAAGAAATATTTATAATGAATTGCTATTAAATGATAGCCAATAATTATATCATAAATTTAATAATTGCAGGTAAATAATACATTTATAAAATTCATTTTGAATTCTAATTTTTATCATTAGGAATGAAACCTGGCGGTGTCCTTCCACCCCACATGGCGTAAGTAATTTTTTTCTAGTCTGCTATAGCACAGAGATAAAAATGTGACAAACCCCCAAATGGACACATACAATCATACTGAATAATTTCAAAATTTAATTATTTACATAGTACCCATAAAACTATCACTTTATAACCATATAGAGTTAAATTATTTTATTAGTATCTTTTATATCCTCATAATTGTCCACAACTTCAGAGGCGTAGAGACCCTACTTGGCGCCCGGGGCGAACTTTCAATTTGGCCCCCCCTGCTTATATATATATATGTATACATATATACACATATATATATATGTATTCATACATACACACACATATATACATATGTATACATATATATATATATATAAAATAGAGTGTGTGTATAAGCGCGTGTGTGTGCGACAGTCCAGAAATGGTTTAATAATTAGGCGTATGATTTTCCTTCCTTAAGACTTTACTCTACGCCAATTAAATTCCCAATTTTAAGATGCGGTTACCTTTTACAAAAGATTAGTAATGTCAGAAAAAAATATGCCTGATCTGAGTTAGGGGGCATCCATTTATGACGTCCACAAAATTTTGGAATTTTAGACCTTCCCCCTCCCCTCCCGTACACAAACATCCACTTTCTACGCCCCCCCCCCCCCCCCCCCCCCCCCCCATCCACAAAAATTTAGTAGACCTGTCAAAACATGCTAAAAATTACTTAGTCATTGGGAGAAGAGTGGAAGGGGAGGGAAGAGATATTTTGTGGCGCGACTGACCGTGTGAATGTGTTACGAGTATTTTAAATTGCAATTTAATGAACGAATGATCGCCCTCAGAATTGTTGTAAGGGAGGTGTGTGAGTGGCAGTTTAGATATAATTTATCCGTCTGTAAGGGGTCATCCATTTATGACGCCCACAATTTCGGATTTTAGACCTTCCCCCCCCCCCCCCCCCCCCCCCCCCCCCCCCACCCACATGCGTTCACTTCTTTGGATGTAATAATAAAGATTAGCATTTATAAGATTAATAAGTCGCAAGGCCTCTTTGGGCTCATACCCGTATTTCAGTTTGCTTCAGCCGGTCGCTTACAAAAGAGGTACTATTTTTATTTAGGAGTCGTCCATAAATGACGTCACACTCAGTCGGGAGGAGGGTTTTAGAAAGTGACGACACGCTCTTGCAATATTGTTAGGGTAGTTATAAATACCGTGTTTTATTTACAGGTTTTATGTAAATGTAATCACTTCGATGTTAAATGTAACTTGTGGACGTCCCCATGGACCCAAACATCCCGTCCACACGCGTCTACAAAAGCCTTTTTTTTTTTACTCCCTCCCCCTCCATGTGGACGTCATAAATGGATGACCCCTTTAATTTTAATCCACCTTCATTAAACTGTTTTTCAAATCTTCGTAAATGCTGACGATTAAAGCTCGACTACCCCGCCCCTCCTTGTAACTACGGTCACTTGTCTGAACTCACCATGACCTTAAGTGCGTAGTTGGTACTGCTTGGTTAAGAGGGTAGGGAATAAGTCACTTCACAGTTCATGCTATGACGTATTAAACAGGCATACTGAAGACTACCATGACCTCACAGTGACCCCTTCACCGTGTCTTGGGGGGGGGGGGGGGGGGGGAAGGATACCGGCAATTTTTTTATTGGTTTATTGTGGTTACAGCCTGCAGAATTTTTTTGTTTTTGCTCCAAATTTTTCTTTACTAGTAGCCTATATTAGTATATTAGGCTACTCACCAAGAGCAGACCTAAATTAATACATTACATTATTATTCCTTAAATTTCTTAACTCTCACTATTATGCACTACCATTTTAATAATGGTTTTATTGAAAACATAAGCAATTAGATCATGTTGGAAGCAAAATAGTTGCATCATTTTAATCAATTATTTTATTATTAAAATTTTAGGTGGAGTAGGCAAACTTAGAAAAGTGATTTTCTGTCAATTTAGCTAGAGAAAGTTCAATATAAATATAGCTCAATTGCCTAAAATAAATGTCAATTTAATAAAGTAATTATAATGAGAGTACAAATGTTGCATCATTTTATAAATTATTCGCTAACACATTATCTGTATAAAGTCTGGAATTTTTTCAAAAATGTCTAGAATTTCATTTTCAAAAAGTAGTACGAACCCTGGTATAACATCCCCCACAATTCCGTCCCGGTCGAGCTCCTTTGGAGTCATTGATAGATCAACACTATTCAAAAAGTCTTTGGGAACAATTGACCTCGAATTCGGTAGGCTAAATAGGAATGTAGCCTCTGTGCTTTGAGACACTGTAGCATATTTGGCTGTAGAGCTAGCCTAGTAGAGATTACCAGGCTGCATCACACACAATGAGGCTAATAGACTGTCAAACGTCTCAATACCCTACGGCTTACTTAAATGTCGAGACAAGCTACTTCAGAGGCACATTCGTTGCGGCATTATTTGACAACCCAGTTGCAGACTTGATTGTGGGTAATGTGGGGGGCTCTGGATCATTTGAAGGCAATGCAGTGACAAGATCCATGGCTAATAAGGAAAGTATGGTACCCGTCATACGGGGCAACACGATTGTCGTCACAGAGCTCCATCATATAGAATCATATCCATCATATATTATTTTTGTCTATAGGTTAACCACTATTAACATGAATTTATTAAAAACCCAGAAATGAGTGAATATTTTCTGACGGAAGGACTGACACACTACAAGCCGGCTTATATTTTTCAGCCAGGGGCCCTGCTCAAACTAAATCCGCCCCTGATGGCCCGTTCCAAAAAAAAGGATAATTTATTTTGCCGTTTAGGTCTGAGGATCAGAACTTAATCTCCCACACTGATATATACAATATATCAGAACAGTCACACATCAGTCAAGAATAATGCCCAATAAAGTGGAATTAGCTGTCTTTATACACTGAGATAAAAGGTCGGGGTGTTTATCATATTTATATGGTCAATTAAATACAATAAAAAAATTCCTAGTAAATATGGTTTTAAAAAGGCAGTGGTAAATAAATACAAATGTCCTTACATAAGTACAATCATTCACTGGCCTACACTTACTAAAATAAAAATTGTATTCAATATGCATCTAAAGTCTGTTTGACAAACATGCTTTCATAAAAATGTATTTAAAAAACTGATATAATAAGAATATAAAAGATGTAAAACTGGGTTAGGCACAGAATTAAAGAAAATAAAAATTATTTTCTCTAAATGCAAGTACAGTATAGTCTGTGTTGGGGACTTAACTTCGAGAAACAAAACATGTTAGAGAAATCAATATATGTATTCTGATGTTAAGTTTTAGGCTAACATTTTTTGTTTTAAATTTCATCTTCATTCTATTTATTTTATTATTTACATAATGCTTTTGTTCAACTCAGAAAAGTTAAAGTAGAAGATGTCCTTGATAATGCTTTACAGTATTTCATCATTGAGAAAAATTATGGCACATTTAGTCAAAAATTTTTAAGGAGACATTTTTAATGACTGGATATAGAATGGGGAAGATCTTGTAACAATTGACTAGACAGGCTCATCAAGCAACAACCAGTTGATTTCTTGGTTATATTATAGAGATGAGCTATTAAGTTCTGTTCAAGAACACATACTGAGTTAAAGAAATTATGGATTGTAATTAACTAACCACTTATTGACGTAATTTTGATCACTCCAGTAATCACATGGCACAAATTAAAAGTTGAAACATTTATCACATGAAGTAAAAATGTGAAACATTAAAAATATGAATATGACTCATTAGGGAAAAGTGTAAGTCAGCATCAAACAAACAACAGAGACTGCAACAAAATAATCAACAGTTAATTCAATGTTACAAGATTGCCTGAGTTTTTTGTTTGAAGTGAATTGAAAGGTTATGAGCTAAAGTTACTTAGGAGTCTTACTCCTGGCTGGTGGCTTAAAGAGTTCACCATCTTTGTAAAACTTTACCACTAAACAAGAAATGTCAACAACAAAGGAAACAAATGAGATCTTTCATTAGCTATGTAATCAGCTAAGCTATGTCATCACTTGAGGGTGGAATCACAAAAAGGCCCAAAATTCTGGGCTATGTGCTGCGGGACTGGAAAAAGGTTTGGTCAAAAAAGAAAATATATTGCTCTTTCATAACAAAGAGTTGCATACATTAACAATGAGCAAATAACAGTATGTGCATACCAAAACATAATATACAAACTCACAAGGAAAAAAACATTTAACACTAACAATTATTAACACTAAAGAAATGTGGTTAATAACTTAATACTGCCCACACGAAACTTTATAGAATGGATTATTATTTTTACAATTTGTTTTGAGGATGAGATTCAATTACATACAGAGATTAATGTAAACAAATAATAAAAAAAACTATTTGAGAACTAAATTATGCTAGATCTGTGCACATCTTTCTTGGGTGATTTTGATCTTTCTGCTGGTTTGATTCCAGAGGTGCCAGACAGAGATGACTGGGAGCTTGATTTTTGTTTTGTTTCTAAATTCAATTTTTTGTTTTGCACAAGCTGCTTGGCACTTCCTGTAAGCCTTTTAGCTGCATCCTCATCCTGTTTTTCTCTGGGATCATACATCTTTTGTAAATGTTCCCGGGATGGTGTTCTTGCATTCCTCAAATTTTCTCTTGATGGTGTTTTAGACACCCTCAGATTTTCATGAGATCCTTTAGTTAAAACATAGCGCGACAAGTTCCCATGAGACCCTCCAAGATTTTCATGGGAACTTTTCAAGTTCTTTATATTTTCTCTGGATCTTTTTGCCAGTTTGTGATCAGATCCAGCAAATTCTTGACTGATGTGTGACTGTTCTGATATTGTTCTAATCCTCTTAGGTGGGTGGTCAATGTCTACCATACTTAAATGTGCTGCGTCCACACCATCCTCTTCATCAATAGCCCGATCTTTTGGTTTGTAGGGGAAAGATAAATTTCTACCCAAGCAGAGCTGCACAAATAAAAGATTTAAAATTTTGATAACCATAGAAAAATGCAGCAGAATAAAATACTAAATAGATTACAGTGGGATGATTCAGTCATATAACAGAACACATGGCTTTTAGCCAAACAGTCTTGAATTTGGCTCCTGGACCCAAGTCAGAAGGAGCTCTACCTAGCTTTAATGGTTACCTGACTCTTGCTAGCAAAAGTTACCATTGCACTTTATTTTTACATACCACAAGGTCCAGAAATAGGTGAACTCTACTCTATCTACCCCATTTACAATCAGGTAACTTTATTTTTTAGGTTATCTTTAATTAAGTTATTATTTATTTATAAGTTCAGGCCTGATGAGATTTTGATTTATTCCAGAGTCAAAGTACCTTTGGGAAAAACAGACTCCAAATGTAAATCAAGACACAGAACCAACTTGACCCAATTTTGATCCATACTGCTGCCCAGTTGCGTCCAAAGTTGTTGAGGTCAGAATCAGAAGGTCTTGAATAAAGTTAAACAAAATAAATACATCAGTTTTGTTAACTCTTTACTTTTCACATTCCACCTTAACTTTCTTTTAATTTTTTCCATCAATTATGCCAGAAAACAATTTATATCTTCCTCCTATTTATTTAGAACCTACAAAATATATGAATAAATTCATTGTAATTGAAGGTTCTACACCCTAATTTAAACTATAACTAATGTTTATTTACTGAAAAAAGAAAATTTTAAACAAGTAAAAAAAAAAAGTGTCTAAACTTTCTAAGAAAGAAAACTGCAAGAAGTAAATACAACTAAAAACTGTAACTAGCAATATACTGAAATAGATATATGATTAAAGCTTGGATGAGACTTATCACTAATGTAGGGCTAAATAGAGAAAATATTATCCAATATTGAGAGCATTGTTACCATAAAGTATAAAGCATGCTGGTGAAACAAAAACTGGAATCACCAGAGTGAACTGAAAACCTTTTTTTTTTCTACAAAATTTCTGCAACAAAAAATAGATTTTGTTTACCTGCACCAGTTTATGAGTTGCATCATAATGTGTAGAGTTGTCAGATAAAAGAAAAAAATTCCAGTTACAAAAATAGATTTTATTTACCTGTACCAGTTAGTGAGTTGCATCATGATGTGTAGAGCTGCCAGGCAAAAGACTAAATGAAAGAAGGAGTAGGAGTACACAACACCATTTGCCTCATTCTGAATGACCTTCTGACCACCTAGTAAAGATGGGTTGTCTCCTGAAAAAAACAAAATTATTTTTAAATGAACTAACATTCAAGACAATTTATGTAATGAAATTACAATAAATCAAATTTATTAAAAAATTATAAACAAACTATAGTAATACATAAATAAAAAATTCAAACTTTTAATAAAGGTCTACTCACTCTTGGTAATCAAACAACAAAAGCATGATTTCCCTTCCTGAAAATAATTAATGAATCAATTTATATTAAATTCAAATTTGGTTAAAAAAAGATTGTGCACATATTACAAAACAAAAATAGTGGTGTCAACTGATCATTCAACCATTCTAAATTGCAGAAATATAGCAACATAAAATAAATATAACAACGTAGCAAAATAAATATAACATAACAAAATAAATATAACAACATAAAATAATTAACAACCCTAATCCCTACTGTGTTATATAATTTGTGTATTATCCCTTATTGTTTATGAAGGGATAATGAAGACAGTTCTAGACAGAAACTTACAGTTCTAACTCCTAGTTTATGAGCATCATGGGATGTTCTAAGACTGAAAAAAAAATAATTATATAATAATTCAGATAGAATCTCATGACTTTCTAAGTCTGCTTGAAGATTAAGTGAATTTGAACCTGCAAATCAGCTTGATAAGTTTTATGACTTCTTACAACAGTAAGTAACCTTTGAAACTTTAAATCTGCTTTTTTAAATTTTTATTTATCAAGAGTGAAGGCCAACTATTTCATTAAAAATCCTCAATAGTCTCCTTTTTTTTTTCAATTTTAAAAATACATTTAAATTAAATACATTTTTAATTTTTTGAAATGCATTCTGTTATTTTGAAAACTGAAAATATGCTACCTTCCATACACAGCCATTATAAACATGAATACAAGTCCTGCATAGCCAGCTATTCTGTCACTTCCAGGAAATGCTGGGTCAGGACGACATTTAGCTGTCACATTTGCTGGCAGGACAAACTTCATGCTGAGGGTGGTTGTGGGAATGTTGCTGGGAGTTGGTTTAGCATCCTCAGACATAAAGGAAAAAGTTTTCTCTCTCAATGTATCCAAGAGGCTCTTTACTGTGAAACAAATTAAATTTGGAGTATTAAATCTGACAAAAAAGTTATTCAATATCTGAAATGTATAAAATTGTTCTTACTTTCTTCTTCTGGTTCACTGGTCATGCCTGACCAGGTCAGGTAAACAACATAAACACAGATGACAGAAGCCTGCAGTAATCCTGCATTTGGGTTCCCTGGCAAAGAAATTGTTATAAATGTAAGCGTAGAGAAAAAAAATGCTTTTTATTAAATTTATATAAAAAGCTATATAAAATTTATAAAATATTCTCTGTTATAAACAGAATGTTTAAAATGATATATTACCTATTTTTTTGGTGAGTTTAAACTTTAAAAGTACAATCAACTCACGTTTGTTGGTGCAGGGTAAGATGGTCAAGAAGGTGAGTAGACAGCAGAGCCCTGTGTTGAGGCCCAGGAACAGGTGGTTGTTTGTGCAACCCTCTCTACCAAAGAGAATAAACAAAAACACCATCCCCGTGATTGCCGCGGCAAACAGCACCAGTGCTACTACAACTGTGCCTGGAAGTTGGATACAATAAGATTAATGGAACCAGAGTGTCTAAATTCTACAGTTAAAACATGACAGATTGAAGATAATGTTAAATTAATTTTATTTTAACAGGATGTATATTTGGCTCCATAGTCTAATAGACCATTGGATGATTGCACATTTGGAAATCCAAATATAAAGCCTGGGCGCTAAAATGAGAAGAGCCAGAGGTCACTCATGCATCAGACCCCCTCTCTCCACACAGCTGGTGGACCCAAGGGACAGGACATTACCTTTACAACTTGGGATCACCCTAAAAGAAACCAGAACTGATAAACCTAAGGGGCTCAACTTCAGTTTGGTTTTGATATTTTTTCTCCTAGATGGAACCCATAGTTTACCAGAGAAGCCATTGGGAAAGTTATAGGCCATCAGATAATCTAGTTCAATCTTCACAAAATGATAACAACTAAAAACATGACCATCCTAGCAAGTAATTAACATTATCTATTATTTATCCATAGATTCAAGTAGGCCTACATCAATAACAATTTCATAGTTTAAAAGACTCACCAATAATACCACATGTATTTGTCCTTCCTCTAGTGCGCCCAACCCTAAAACAGTGTATCATAAATGTATTTGTACAAATTGTAGAAAAGCATTTTTTAATTAATGTAAAATTATGTTTTATCCATCTAAGAGTAAGACAAATGTACAGGACTATTCAGTGGCATATGCACAAAAAATGGTGGGTCAGAAATTATGTTCCTAACAGACCTGCAAAAGTCAGCTATCTTATGTTAATCTACAGCTATTGGTGGCTGGTTGCTTATGTAACTTTCATTTTCAAAGTTGTTAACATGAATCTCCCCCCCCCCCCCCCCCCCCACCCCCTTACCAATAATAAAAACTCCACATACACCACTACGACCAATGTAAAATTTACCATGAAGCATTCCATGAATGAGTAAAGTCCACCAGCATAATCAGCTGTAGAACAATGAAGAGAGCGCCACCTACCAAACCTACATACATCCAGTCTGAAACGGTTGAACAAAAATTGGAACCTAAATGTTTGAAACATGTTATAATTAAATTATATCATGATCTTAAATATTGTTTGAAGTGGAAGTGGGCACTTGAACTAATACTTTTAGTTAACAAAATCTTGTCGGTAGCTATTTAAACATTTTTAAGAAAGATTTACTTTTAAAGTAAAAATATTAAGCGCACATGAAGGGAATTAGAAGCCCACATAAATATATACTAAACTCTGAAGGAAATCAAAAGCCCACACTTACATATACTAAACTGTAGGAAATCAAAGGCCCACACTTACATATACTAAACTGTAGGAAATCAAAAGCCCACACTTACATATACTAAACTATAGGAAATCAAAAGCCCACACTTACATATACTAAACTCTGATGGGACATAAAATGCTCCTGCACACAAGCCACACAGGACTAGAAACTTGAATAACCAATAACTGAAAAAAATCAAGAGCAGTTTATTTAAATTTAGAATTTACGCTTACATTTCAGTTATTTTTTACAATGTGATACATTTTCAAATATTAGTATCTTGAAGGCAATAGTAGAAATAATTTTTTTAATTGTTTCACTAGAATATAATGTACAAAGAACATTTCCAAATTGATTTTTTTAAAATTATAATTTAAAGTTTCAAACAAAAGTGAATAAGTTGAAATAAGTGAAATGTTAAATTGATGATGCACTAAGAAAAAAACTCTTCAGTAAGGAGAGATTGATTTCTTAATTCTTGTCAATCTAATAAGTGATTTATATTATTGATAATTAATCCAATAAAAATTAAAGAAAAATGTATTTTAAAACATAAACGATGAATAAAAATTAATATTTGTTAGACATTTTTTAATTAGAAACTAAAGGAACCAGAATAAAATCAAAACCACAACACTAGAAAATAAACCACCTTCATGTGGAACCATTTCTTTCAAAGTGTTCCTTGACACTATTCTGTAAAATTTCTATCAAATATTTATAACATTACTGACATATATTAAAAGATTAAATTTTAAAAACTAAAAGTTACCTTTATTGTGATGTAATAAAGAAATTCCCTATGTGAGTAAGTAATGATAACAAGAGTTGTGGAAAAATTACCCATTCTGAATACTGGCTCTCCAATGATTGCTTGATGGCACAAAAACAGTCAAGACCATGAGCAGGAAAAAAAAGGTTGTGACAGCGAGTCCAAGTCTGTACACAGCTTTATAACCAACCAGCTGAGCACATCCTCCGTCGTCTTTAGCTCTCACACATAAACTGGAGATGGAATCTGAGATCTTCACAACCTGCAGATTAACAACACAATGGCAAATTATTATTTTGAGTATGATCATTTAAAGATCCTTAAAAAATAATATCTAGTATATCGGTATATGTAAAGTATTTGTAAAATCAAAATTGAAAACTTTAAAAAAAAATTAATACATTTTTTAATGAAAAGAAATTGGAATTTAAAGCTCTTTCTACTTCAGAATCCATGTGGGCTTTTGCCCTTTGATCATATTGATAAAATGTAAACAACTCACATGCTCCTCTATAAGCTTTTGCCCTTTGATCATATTGATAAAATGTAAACAACTCACATGCTCCTCTATAAGCTTTTGCCCTTTGATCATATTGATAAAATGTAAACAACTCACATGCTCCTCTATAAGCTTTTGCCCTTTGATCATATTGATAAAATGTAAACAACTCACATGCTCCTCTATAAACTTTTGCCCTGTGATAAAATGTAAACAACTCACATGCTCCTCTATAAGCTTTTGCCCTTTGATCATATTGATGTAAACAACTCACATGCTCCTCTATAAGCTTTTGCCCTTTGATCATATTGATAAAATGTAAACAACTCACATGCTCCTCTATAAGCTTTTGCAAATCTGCAGCTTGCATCACACACTGTATCAGAAAGATGAAGGTCAGTAGTAGCGAATACATCAGGCGAGTTCCAGTGGACTCGTTGATTGTTGGTAAACAGCCACAACACAGTGCACATGACGCAGGCCCACAACAGCAGGCAAGCTAGCAAACAAAATAAAGAGAGAAATCACTTATTTCTTTCTAGTTTTAACCAATGCTCATCTGGTAATGATATAATTTATCAGAATAAAAATATTTCATTTTCACAAACATCTTGTTGGCTACCTAAATGCATAGCAAGAACATCTAATCTTGTTTTTTTTAATGCTATGTTCTCCTTTATTGAATCTGTCGACGGGTCCACTAGATTTGAGCTGTATTATCTTCAAGAAATTTCTTTACTTATTAAATTTATACAACAAAATGCCATGTTTTCAGTAAAAGCAACCTTGCTTGCTTGCAAACATTTTTTTTAAAAAGATTGACAAAAAAAAAACTAATATGGGGGAGGAAAGGGGGAGGGGGTTGCTAATGGGGAAGGGAGTTAAAAATTGGCAAAAAAGATGAAGTCATTAATGGACAAGTGCTCATCATATTTCCTGTATTTGTAACTCAATTCATTTCAAGTGTTACATAACATCTATGATTGTGCCACTTAAATTTTGCTCTCTATCAGTTACAGCCAGTTACAGGCCAACAGTTACATTGTTCTACTATAATCCTGTATTAATTAGTAGCTAGTAATTAAACACCACATAACTAGTTGTCCAAATGAAAAACAAAAAAAAGGGGCATAATCCCTATGACATAATAAAATGGACTTAAAACTATTGAGATTTACATAAGAGAGACAACAAAGCTCCTACTCTACATGTGGAACATAAACATATCAAACAAAAATATTTGTGTGAAGTGCAGCATGACAAAAAAAAGTAGTAGAAAACTTGAAGAGAAAATTTAAGTTCAGTATGATTGAGATGTTGCCATTCTTATGTCTAGAAATGTGTTGAATTTATAAAGTTGTAACAGTGTTTTAATAAAATCTATAAAATCATTCATTAAAATTAGATTGTTCATATTATTGTTTAGAGTTTATATTAAACTCTATGCAAAAACCTGCAACCAGGCAAAAAAAAAAAAACATGGCGATTGAAAAAAAATCTCCTCCGAGGCCAAATGCAGATTTTTGAAAAGTTATTTCCTTAGCAGCCTTCTGTATGGCAGTGAATGAGGATGCTGGAAATAACAACTCCCACCAGCATGTCACTGGACTTCTTCCAAACAAAGTAAGTGCTTGCAAAGGATAAAAGGCATCCATTGGCTTAACACAGTCTCCAATGATAGACTACTAGGTGAGATGGAAATGGAAGCAATTTCCGAAATAATTGAAAAAAGAAGATGGCGATGGATGGGGCATGTCCTAAGAATTAATCCATATGATATCACAGGAATGGTGCTAAAAACTGGATGCCTCAAGAAAAAAAGAAAGCAGGGAATGCTAAGGGAGACGTGGAGATGGTGACAAAAGTGAAGGGAGCTGTGTGTCTTGGTTGCAAATAGGAGTCAAAAAGGAAATGATTAATATGAAAAAGCTACAGGGGGGGGGGGGGGGGGCTCAATCTGCAAGGTATTCAAAGAGTAAGTGTACTGACCACTTTCTACATACTGGTCAGCACATCTTACAAGATATCTTAGTCTTGTTGATAACATAATAATATACAGTGGGCCTATATATATAGTATATACTTAAATATACTAGATCTAGAGTAAACTGCCTAACTATGTAATAAATTGTAACATGAAGTAAGTTGTTTAAAATTTAGAACTTTAAAAAAAAAAGATTCTTCTTTGTTTGGCAAGTTTTTATTTTTATTGTATGATTTTTATTTAGTTAGTCTACCTGAGATGTACAACAGCCCATGTTGTGAAAAGGAGAGTCGCAAACTTCCAGAAATCAATAACGTCTCATTTTATTAATACCATTTTGTGACTGCATTACCACTATCAATCAGTCTAGATTTGGCAAAAAGACAAAATCAGCTGTTATTGTTATTATTGCCCATTCGAAATCCGGAAGTAAAGTCTAATCACTCGAGAGTTGAGGGCATAGAGATAGAGAAAGTATTTCATTCAAATTTTTTATAATACTACTGAAGATTCGTTTGAAATATTTATGTTTAAGGCATGCAATATGAAATTAAAATTTGTTTTATTTACATCTGAGCTGAACACGAACATCAAATAAATACATATATATTGGGTTCATGATAAACTAGGTCAAAAAAATGTAACGACCAGCGAACAAAATTATTACTCCCTACGTTACGTGTTCTAAAAATAGATCAATATTGCAGAAGGAAAACAAACATGGCTTCTCCCAGCTGCAGACTCTACGTTATCAAAATATCGCTTACTATTTTTGTACTAATCCACTCCTCTACAATTTTTTAATTATTATGCTTTCGGAAGAAAAAGATCAAGATCGTAGATCTACCGAAAGGCAACGAGATGGAAGCCATCATAGCTTTATCAGACATCGAATACGTAAGGCCTGAAATTCTGAAATTTCCAACTAAAAAAATTAAAATAATTTTTAGGCCTAGAATATTTAGATTAGTAGTAGATCTAGATCTAATAGTAGGCCCCTAAATTAAATTTTAGGCATAAATATCAAATAACTAAGTATAGTTTAGTATAGGGCCTTTTTGTAAAATAAAATGATCAGAATGCTTACAGAACACAGAACTGACCACTGTCACTACTGAGAGCTACTTAGTTAGGCTGGCCCACTATCCAGATTAGTTACATTTGATTCTATTCAATCTTTACATAAATTTACATTTCTTTACAAATTTACTGGCTGTTATTTAATTTGTATTAAATACATCTGCTGTCTTTTCCCTTACTTGTGTTGTCTTTGTTTCAGCTTATAGACTTCTAGGCCGCAGGTCACTCAGTGCGAAAAGATTAGTTGTTTCAAGTAAAGTTTTGTTTCCGGCTATACCTACCCAGAACTGTGATGTGGTCCTAACATTCCCAGCAGAAACTGAAGATGCTACTCTTATGTGGCTTCTGGCCAGGCTTAAATCACGCGCTCCATCACTTACAGTTCATGTCAGACACCACAGTCATACAGGCATCTATGGATTTTACTTGACTGCTCTGTATGAAAAGTTAGTAATTTTTCTAGAACAAGGGGATATTTATGTTTTAGGCATCTGTTAGTTACTATATAAGCTAGCATTAGTCATACATCTTAAATTAATTTTTCCTTTTAATAAATTTCGCAGTTTTCCAAAACTTTAGTTGTGTCAGGGGTCTCCAAACTTTTCAGTCCGAGGGCCGCATTAACTGAAAATTTCAGTTCGGGGGCCAGTTTCTTCCAGGCATGTCTTAGCTTTTTCTGGGTAATGTTCCTCAGCCATCACCAACACACGTTTTTTTCCGTGGACAAAAAGATCTCCGCGGGCCGGATGAGAGGACCTCGCGGGCCGCATCCGGCCCGCGGGCCGTAGTTTGGAGACCCCTGGTGTAAAACATGCATATTTATCTGCCATTATTCTTTTCTTCAGTCTATTACAAGGTGCTGAAGAACTAGGGATCTTAAAACCATTGAAATCTGATTATGGAGGGGGGATGAAAGAATTTATTTATGAGGACCAAGACTGTTTTCTCGGAGTTGAAGATGAATCTAGTTTTTTAACCAGCCAAGAACGTCAGAGTATTGTGCTGCATTTTCTCCATGAGCTTAGGGCAACAGGAGATGACTCACTCAAAGGAATAACTTTCATAGAAGGCCAACCTATTGGTATAAAACTTAAATATTTAAAAAAATTCGATACTTTTCTTTTATTTTTATCCCATTTAACCTTTGAAAAGTGTATTGATTTAAAATAGTGACATATATTTTTTAGTACCTCTACTTATAACCAAGAATGTAGTATCGCAAGTTTTTCCACTACACAACCACAATGATCTCAAAGTTCTGCGCCAGACATGGATACAAGCTATTTTTTCTACTCAGCCTTTAGGTAATCAATAAGTTTCTTTTCATTTTTATTGAGAATTGTTGGCTTGATAAAATATTGTGATACCAATATACTCTTGGTATTGTGATACTCAAGAAAAAAACCTAGTTATTTTTATGAATTTAGTGTTTTCCCTATTTTTCCTTATTTTGGATCTACATTATTGTTTTGTCCATTACATATTTTTTCAGTTTGTTTTTTTTCGCAACTAAATTTTAAAATGTTGTAACATTTTGCTTTCTAGATGATGTATGTAAATACTTTGGAGTGAAAATAGCCTTGTACTTTGCTTATCTTGGCCACTATACCACCTGGCTCATCCTTCCTGCAATAGTTGGTCTTATCATTTTCCTTCTCCAGGGAGACAACCAAGTAATTTTTTTTTTTTAAATGAGACATTTTTGTTTTAATTTTTAAAATTGACATTTGTCTAAGTCAGTATACTTAATGTAATACAAAACAATCTTATTTCAGTTTTTCGATGATCTCTGTTATGTTGGCTTTGCTCTTTTCAATGTTGTCTGGGCTACTTTATACCTGAAATTCTGGAAAAGATCATCAACAGAATACTGCTACAAATGGGGAACATTAGAAAAGAAAGATGAAATGCTTAAAGACCCTCGACCCCTTTTTAAAGTGAGTAATTAAGCATTCCTTAATTTTAATTTTTTTTTAAAGTGTACACTTTCGCATAAGATAACTTATAGGGTAACATTACATAGCACAACAGCTGAGCATAGTGCTAACCCTCCTTTTGCAGAGGTGACTGAAATAATTGAACTCATTAGCCCCATTGACAGCCGGGTTCAAAAGGTCAACTTAAACAAAACACCCCTTCCAACTAGATGTATCAATTTAAAAATGTGGGCATTGAAGCTAAATATAATTTGTACTAGAGCTAAAAATATTTTTCTCACAAAAGTCTGGTGTATAATGTTTCAGGGGGACCTTGTGAAGAGTCCAATCACAGGACATTTAGAGTTGGCTTATCCTGGTTGGAAAAGACTTCTGTTTCGGTATTTTGTCACAGTTCCCATTATTGGTGTTTGCTTGTCTTTAGTCTTTGTCATCATGCTGCTATGTTTTGAACTTCAGGTTTGTCACACTTCTTGATCATGTTACAGTTAAATATTTCTAAAAATTACTATTTGAATAAACATCATTTATCTAAAGTACTGTAATCAAGTTATTGATGCCAAAACAAATCAAACTACTACACTACTGTGTATTCAATGTTTGTACATTGTTTAAAGTGTGAACTTCTAATCTTTTAATGTGTACTTTCAGGAGTGGGTAAATGAATTGATAGTTGCTGATGAGCTGCCATATTTGTTTAGCTTTGTCCCTAAGGTGCTGTTGGCCATTGTTGTTTCTATCCTGGATGAAATCTACAAGGAAATAGCAGTTTGGCTAACACATCAAGGTGAGCACATCATTACATGACTAGATGTTGATTTTATGATAGTCTGTTACACTATTTTCTTTGCCTTATAGATGCTTTCATTTTGTCAACTAAAATTGTATTCTGCAGAAAACTATCGCCTTCAAGAATCTCATGAAACTAGTCTAGTTATCAAATTGGTCATGGTAAGTTTTTTTGGTCATTATGATTTATGTTACTTTAATACTTCCAGTTGGAAAATATAGTTGTTATGAAGTGTGTGTTACTGTAATGTAATACCTCCAGTTTAAAAACATTGTTTCTCTGTCCTTTAGCCTTGGTGGATTGTCAGGCTGCCACTAGTGTCCTTTTGGTCAGTTTCCTCCATTCCCCTAAATGTCTACCACTATCTCCTGTATCTCTCCAAGTTTGAAATTAATTCTTTCTCTGAGGGTCTCTTCCCAATATTTTTCTTTGCCCTGTTGATTTCTGTTCTTGGTATTAAAGTTTTTACTAGTCCTAATTACCTTATGGCTTGTATATATCATATTAGCTGTCACATTAAAAAAAATTCTCAGCTTATCACCATGACAACCAATGACCCTGAGGGTCCTTTCTCACACTGCATCAATGGAGATGTTTTTGAATAGGGTTCCCAGTAACTTCCTGTAGTTTCTCCTTTTCCATGGCTTGGATTTTATTATACAATTCTACTGAATGTTCAGTTGGAGACAGATATTAGTGGTTTTGTGTAGAGGGTTATGTTTTATCTTCCCCCACCACCCTGATTCTCCTTTAGCCTTGATGCTGTTACATAAGTTCAGTTGGAGTCAGATATTGGTGTTAAAACTATTGAAGAGTTTTACTTCACAGAACTTTATAAGTCATAGCTTTGTACTTGCTTATAATCATATCTAGTGTGAGGAAATGTTTATACATTGATTTGTTTCCATTACATTTTTAAATACTGCTCATCACTTTGTTAGTGTTTTTGTAAGGTTCTTTGCAAGGATTTATGGCTTGTTTTTAGCTACCAGGAAATTCAGTCTAGTATTCAACCACACCACTACATATTCAAATCCCTATCTTAATTTTTTGTTTTTTTTACCCTCTTTGATCTTTCTCCACAGTTCCAATTAGTGAATTCTTTCCTATCATTATTCTACATAGGATTTTATCTTAGAGATATGGACAGACTTCGAGACGTAAGCAAACTTAAGTTATTTACATCTTTTCTTTAATGTGGTTATAAGAGTGTAAACAATAAACCATTTGGGTATACATAATTACACATTAGATTAATGAAAATGAGCAACTTTTATTTTTATAATGAATATTAAAGCTTGATTTGGATACCTAGTGTAATATAAGTTCAGTTGTCAATGCGCAATTCACCACTATGGCTTTTTGGCTATGTTTACGATCAATAGTATCATTTGAACCCAAATAACTTAGGCCAGAACCCAGTTTACATGTTTTTTTTACACAGCAACTGGCAGCATTGCTGATCACCCGCCAAGTCCTGGGGAATATAAAAGAAGCACTGTTGCCTTATGTTATATGGAAAGCTCGTCTCTATAGTGTAGGATACAAAATAGCAACAAGGATGTCGCCTGCGTCGTTAGAGAAGGAGGTGCGCAGGATGACCAAATGTCCAGAGCCTAAAGCATCTAGCTCAAACATTGAGAAGTCCAGCAATGATTCTGACAGTGAAAGTAGCCACATAACAGAAGATGAGGACTGTCTTCCAGCCTTAACCCAAGCAGAAGTTGAAAGTGCCATGAAAAAAGTGGGTACAATTTAGTTTCTTGTTCATTTTTATTCTATAAAACAAATATATTTTCTTTTAAGTAATCTGTTCAAAGTTTTTCTCCAGAGATAAAGAGTAGTATTTTGACAGTGATGTAATAATGTTTGTAAATGACTATCCTTTTGTTCCCAGTATGAAGATACCCTGGATGATTATCTAGAAATGTGTATACAGTTTGGCTACATCACACTGTTTTCATCTGCCTTCCCACTGGCAGCACTTTGTGCCTTGTTAAACAACCTCATAGAGATCCGTTCTGATGCCTTCAAGATTTGTTTAACTTATCAAAGACCTTTTGGGCAACGAGTTGAAAGCATTGGTATATGGCAGGTATGTAGGCGTACATGGTGAAGACTAAACTTGTTTTAGCTTGTTTTTTTTTTACAGCTGTTGTAACATAACAAAAAGATGATGTTCAAGGTTAAAATTATCCTACATTAATTACCCATGATTTAAATGCTGGTCTAATGTCCTGATTACTACACCAGTTACCCATGATTTAAATGCTGGTCTCATGCCCTGATTACTACACCAGTTACCCATGATTTAAATGCTGGTCTCATGCCCTGATTACTACACCAGTTACCCATGATTTAAATGCTGGTCTAATGCCCTGAATTTCAGGATGTGCTATTGGTGATTAGTGTCCTTGCTGTGATTGTCAACTGTTCTCTCATTGGTACATCAGGCTTGCTGGAGCGAATGGTGCCAGGTTTTAGTGCGACACTCTACTGTTTGATCATTGTTTTAGTGGAGGTATGTAGCTTCAATGTACTGTTTGATCATTGATGTAGCTTCAATACAACATTTTAGTGCAACACTCTACTGTTTGATCATTGTTTTAGTGGAGGTATGTAGCTTCAATACAACATTTTATTATATTTGTTGAACCACACAGCTTTATAGTCATCAGTGAACTTTTTTTTTTTGATCATTGTGTTGGTTGAGGTATGTAGCTTCAATACAACATTTTAATATACTTGTTGGGGTACACAGCTTTATAGTCATCAGTGAAATTTTTTATTTTACTAAGTGTCACCTTTTTAATGCAAAGTGTTTGTTAATGCTGTGTGTTTCAGTAATTAATTATATTGCTGCATTGTAAGAAATGATATTTGACCATCCCCAGCATTTTATCCTGACAACCAAGTTCGCCCTGTACCGGTCTGTAGCAGATCTGCCACCTGCCATGGCCACTGAGATGGCTAGACTGGAGTACCAGCGCACAGAAGCGTTGAAGGTAAACATTCTCTCATCCAGCAGCTCTTTCTTTGTGATTAGGGACCACAGAGAACTACTCTGATGTTATTGGGAACTCCTGTAATGTAACAGGGAACTATTCTTATGTTATTGGGAACTCCTGTAATGTAACAGGGAACTGCTCTGATGTTATTGGGAACTCCTGTAATGTAACAGGGAACTACTCTGATGTTATTGGGAACTCCTGTAATGTAACAGGGAACTACTCTGATGTTATTGGGAACTCATGTAATGTAACAGGGAACTACTCTGATGTTATTGGGAACTCCTGTAATGTAACAGGGAACTACTCTTATGTTATTGGGAACTCCTGTAATGTAACAGGGAACTACTCTGATGTTATTGGGAACTCCTGTAATGTAACAGGGAATTACTCTTATGTTATTGGGAACTCCTGTAATGTACAGGGAATTACTCTTATGTTATTGGGAACTCCTGTAATGTACAGGGAATTACTCTTATGTTATTGGGAACTCCTGTAATGTAACAGGGAATTACTCTTATGTTATTGGGAACTCCTGTAATGTACAGGGAATTACTCTTATGTTATTGGGAACTCCTGTAATGTACAGGGAATTACTCTTATGTTATTGGGAACTCCTGTAATGTACAGGGAATTACTCTTATGTTATTAGGAACTCCTGTAACTTTCTGATCTACTGGGATCATTAGCATACCATTAGTGATTGCCAGACATTTTCATCCTAATTCAGCATGACATGTGGTTTACTTAAAGAAATTTAAAAGTCACACAGTGAAGTGCTGGATAATTAACAATATAGAAGATGCTTGATCAACACAATGTAACATTTTCATTATTTAAACTTTAAACATAAATGTGTAAATTCAACAAAGAAATACATTTTTAGCCACTTCAATGCTGAAATTTAAATAACTGACAAACCTGTATTCCATACATTACAAAGCTTAGTACTAACTTTTAAAATCTTCCACAAAGCATTTTAATTTCACATGTCATTTTTATTGAATGTATTAGTTCTCAAAAAGAAAAAAACTTAATGTTAATACACAGCAACTGAAGTGCAAAATGTATTGAGTTGAATGCACTGTTTCTTGTGTAGATGGAGTTGTTACTTGCTTGTATTGTAGACTTGCCTCTTGTCTTTCAGCAACTGGTGTCCCAGGTGTCACAGAACCACGGCTCTTTGATCTCCCACTACCCAGGCAGTCCAGGGGTTCGCAGGAGAAAGCCCAGCGAAAACTTATCACCTGACAAAAATCACAGAGAGTCATCTCCCCCAGCCAACACCCTGCCTAGACCAACAGATTTCTACTCCGTACCTCATGCAACTAAAGCACCAGTCACCAGCAAACCAGAGGTACCTCCACGCTCTTCTGTGTCAAAGTCAGAAACAGATTCTAGCCAAGCAAGAGGGTCTTCCCTTCACACAGGTGTTGCTGAGAAAGTAGCAGCTGCACCCCTGCAGCCCATGTTTGATGACGCTGAGAACTCCTCCCTGACCCCCCAGCCTGCCAGCAGCTCCCAGCCCACAGAACCAAAAGGCGTCTCACAGGTTTTAAAACGAGCCTATCGCAACCGAGCCAACCTGAAGGACATCCAGCGAAGACGCTCGGAGCCCGGGACAGCGGCTGTGGCCAAGGCCCTAAGTATCAACAAGGATGATGCCGTGGGTGGGATCAGGAGGAAACCTATCTATGAGAACAAGGAAGATCTGAGAGATGAAAGGAAAGAAAGTAAATCAGTGAGAGAAGAGCTGAGAAGCAGCAGTGAGATCTTGAGTGGGAGTGGAGAAGAGGGCAGAGAGAGCATGTTGTCCTCCTCCTCCTCCTACCCTCACATCCCTGGCATTCTGCCCGCCATGCCCCTATCAGCTGTTCCCAGGTCATTTCCAACATCCAATCCCAGATTTTCCGCTACCCCTCGTCTGCATCGAGGCGGAACTCTCTGTGATCCTTCCGCTCTTGCGTCAAAAATAATCTCCAGAAAGTCAAGGTCGTTCTCAACAGCTGATGTCAGTGAAATGCGTCCTGCGTTCCGGGAGAGGTTCTCGTGGAAGGGTGAGCTGCATGTGCTAGGCAAACCGTCCAGCTCACACACGGCCCTGCAGGACGACAGGACGCTCCAGGACGATGTTGCTGACAGTAGGAAAGTCAAGGACACGCCCCAGAGGCAGGACGAAGCAGCGCAGATGTCCAGCTCAAAACAAGACTGTACTGTAAGTCAAGTTGACTTAAAAGGCCCCCTCAGTGTAGTTGACTCAAAGCCTCCCACAGCGTCAAGAAATAAAGAATCTCATAAATCAGACGAGACCAAAGTGAGTTTATTTAAAGCTATGAGGGACAGTGTCAGCAAGCCTTTGAGTCTCTCATCCCGTGGGTCAGAGTTCAAGGTCAAAAGGCCATGACACCTTTAGAATTGAATCTCCTAGTGATGGTTGTGGTGTGTACCTGTCAGTTGACCAGGATACCCAGGTCAAGTTGACCTCAGGGTGGCTGTCCACCGCTACATAGAAGGTTTATCCTTCAGATTTTCATGACTAGTCAACATAATGACAGTGGAAAATCAAGAATTTTTTCCCCTGAGATTTCTTTTTTGAGAATTATCTTTTTTATCAATCAAACATTTAGTTTTTCCCTTTGCTTACACACATTTTAAATGTGTTTTATTGATACCTGTAGCATTTATAAGTCTAGTTCGGACAGTCCAGGTTGAATGAAGCCAAAAAGTGGGAGTTATGGAGGAAATTTGATTTCCTTACCACCAGAGAACATACAGGCGTCTTTTTCTATATCTTAATTAAACATTTTACTGAATGAAATAATTTTTTTAAAGCTGTATGATTGTTACAATTTATTAAGCTGTTTACCTTTAAGACTGTTCACTGTATTTTCTAATTGGATTTGGATCTGTGTTTATATTTAAATGGAGAGTTCTCAGTTTTTTTTTATTCCAGCTAAATCTTACTTAAACTTTTTCCAATCTTCAATAGGCCTATTGCTTAGCTTATTTATTTTTATTTCTGAAATTTTATACCTGAATGTATTCACACCAATGCAGGTGAAAAAGTTGTGTAAGCTGTCATATTACCTGTGCAGTTGACAGCTGTTTAACTGTCTGTGTACCTGTGCAGGTAATGCTTGTACATTGTCACCTATGTATGTTGTCATAGTGTATGTGATAACTTGATGTTAGTACTCATTCAACTATAATACAACTCATCTAACTTTAGTGGTAAATCTAACAAACATTTGTAATATAACACCTAGATCTGTTGATGTTGACTTTGGACTGCTAACTTTGTAGCTCAGATTTTAAACTAAAATATATTCATAGTTAATAATGGGTGTATAATTACCTAAGTTTCAAAGTATATTTTTGTGAAATTTAAAAGATAATCCAGTGTTGATTGTTAAAGGCTCTAAATCATTTGTTGTGGTTGTTAGTCATTGTACTGTGTAAATTTCAATTATTTGTCCTGATTGTGTTCAGAGGAAAAGCAGACACTTGCCAGATAAAATTACTACCAATTAGGTCAACAATTTTATCATAAATACTTTTTGTTTAGTACTTAAGTTCATGTAGGATTTTTTTCAACATTGCCAAGATAAATTGCATATTTCCCTTACAACATTTTCTCACTAGTATTAGTACTGTTAAACAGAGTGTCCAGATAAATGATATATATCTCTTACACCATCTACTCACTAGTATTAGTATTGTTAAACAGAGTGTCCAGATAAATGACATACTTACACTATCTACTCACTAGTATTAGTATTGTTAAACAGAGTGTCCAGATAAATTGCATATTACACCATCTACTCACTAGTATTAGTATTGTTTCTTCCCTGTTCTGGGAGTTTTGTTACTTGGCCTCGGCTGACCTGTGCAATGGTTGACCTACTTGTGGAGTTTTCTGCTCCCATTTATGTTGTTTGCATTCACTCAGTGCAATATTAGTTTGTATTTTAATATTTGCTCCCATCGTATTTTGCCTGTATTTCTAGGTTTTCATTTTTTAATATTCGCTCCCATCATATTTTGCCTGTATTTTTAGGTTTTTATTTTTTTAATATTGCTCCCATCATATTTTGCCTGTATTTCTAGGTTTTAATTTTTTTAATCACATCCAGGGATTGAAGTACTTAGATTTACACAAATATTATTTGATTATTGCTTGACTGCTTCCTTTGCTTGTATTTCTGCTGTGCAGGATATTTAAATTTTTATGACTTATTGTGTGATAATGTTAATTTTGGCAGCAATAGAGGTATCAGGTGGCTAAGTATTTGGCTATTGTCTCTTGTTAGTGGCAGGCTTTCTCCATGGTTTAGTTGCTGGCCCTCAAGTTTTATTTGCTTGCCATGTCCATGTTTAAGTTGCTGGTCCAAGTTTAGGACATTGCAGTACTTGTGTCCAAGTTTAGGACATTGCAGTACTTGTGTCCAAGTTTAGGACACTGCAGTACTTGTGTCCAAGTTTAGGACATTGCAGTACTTGTGTCCAAGTTTAGGACATTGCAGTACTTGTGTCCAAGTTTAGGACATTGCAGTACTTGTGTCCAAGTTTAGGACATTGCAGTACTTGTGTCCAAGTTTAGGACATTGCAGTACTTGTGTCCAAGTTTAGGACATTGCAGTACTTGTGTCCAAGTTTAGGACACTGCAGTACTTGTGTCCAAGTTTAGGACACTGCAGTACTTGTGTCCAAGTTTAGGACATTGCAGTACTTGTGTCCAAGTTTAGGACATTGCAGTACTTGTGTCCAAGTTTAGGACATTGCAGTACTTGTGTCCAAGTTTAGGACATTGCAGTACTTGTGTCCAAGTTTAGGACATTGCAGTACTTGTGTCCAAGTTTAGGACATTGCAGTACTTGTGTCCAAGTTTAGGACATTGCAGTACTTGTGTCCAAGTTTAGGACATTGCAGTACTTGTGTCCAATGTTTAGGACATTGCTGTACTTGTGTCCAAGTTCAGGACATTGCAGTACTTGTGCTATAAATTAAAGGTTTGGGTTATCTAAGATTTTCAATTCTCCCACCTCATCCCTCCCACCCCTGGGTTTAATGGTTTAATCTGAGTGATCTGTCTAAACCTTTAGACAAGTGAAATTTCAACATTTTCTTACTATTGATGAAAATTAAATAAAACATTTAAAGTAAGACTTATTTGTTGCATTTTTTTAAATGTATTTTTTTGTGTCAATTCCTGCAGGATGAATGTTCATTGTTAGCTTTACAAATCTTGTAAAAAAAACAACTAATAAAGACTAAAAAATATTTCAGCAGTTTATATACAAAACGGTTAGCCAATTAATCAAATAGCTCTTTTTGATCCATACTTTAAGTAATTTAAAAGATCTTAATATTGAGTTCTCATTGAAATGAGAAGGAAATTCTCAATCAACATTATCGCTGAGTTTCTTAATGAATCTGTGTAGGAAAATAGTCTTTGATGGGACTTAAAGGAGTGTATTCAGCAACTGAGACGAAACATTGACAGTCATATACAACAGACGTGAAATTTTTTAACATAATTTTGAACACCAAATGAAAACGAAAGGTTTTGCAAATGTACATAATGAATATTTACATGATGTCATGTATTTGATTATAAAAAATTGCAAAGGATGACAGTAAAAGGGGTGAAGGTCAAATGAAAGTGTCAGAAGTCTGGGTGGGGGAGAGGAAAGGAAATTTTTCAGAGAGGGTCAGTGGGACAGTGAAGCATTTTCTATGTAGGGAAACAACTTAAGTTGACTAGTTGAAAGGGTGTTGTAGTGGTCGCATTGAGTTTTCAAAAGGTTGCAGTGTGAAAGATGAGGGGAAAGAGACAAGATTTAGAACTTTAAATAAGTTCTGGATATTGATGTTGCGGTGGGTGGTGGGGTCGTTGGAACAGTTAAAGGGATTGTGGGGTTATCATGTCTGAGGGTAAAGTGGATAGAGGGGGAGAGAGGAGGGGGTAATTTTTATTTTTATTAATTCAATTGTTTTAAACATTTAAATCAGTAATAATAATATATTTGATAGATTTTACACAGCATCAAAGACATGAAAAATGAACATCAATTGCATATATAATAATCAAAGGGAAAAAATAAAATGGCATAAGAACTAGATTAAAATAAGGTGTGCAAACTAGGTTTCTCTTCACTGCTTAGTTTAGTGTGCTGCGGAGTCAAAAGTTCACACTGTAGCCACCCATGGACAGAAATAGAAACGACTGTGGGAGAAGTGTCTCTGTAATCACATACTGATCTATCATTCCAAAACTTTCCATGACATAAAATTAACCCTTGGCAATGAGGGCACGCTACCTTGAAATGTCCGCCAGTCCGGTTGAGTGGGGGGGGGGGGGGGGGGGGGAGTGTGTGTGTGTTGGGGGGGGGGGGGCTTGAGGTGGGTATCTCTTTCTACCATTCAGGTTGTGCATTTTAAAACCCGGGAAACAGAAGACTGTTATAATGTTAATTTACTTGGGGGCTGATCGAGTGATGTTTGGCTTGAGACTGTCTAAATTAAAATTAATACTTTATTTATTTCTTTCCTGTATATTTCTTTTTTTAGCGCAATTTCCATTCTGGAGAATTGCGTTTATTAACCCGTCATTTCTGGATGTATGAATGTATGAATGAATGAATGGATGGATGTGTGTCCGCAGCTTTAAGTCGTATCTCCTCCTCAACGAAGCAATATCGATGACTAGTTCCAAAAGCAATTATGTTAAGAAAGTTACGAGGATGAACATAGGCTATAAAAATTCCGGGTTTCTTTCATGGATTTCCCGGAAAAGCCAAAAAAACTCGAAAAAAAGCAGTTTTTAGCCCATATCTCGGCAACCAGACCACTTAGCGACTTGAAACATGTACCAATCGATTCCTGCCATAATTTAGAACAATATTGCCGAAGAAAGTTTTCAAAAATATCCTTTCGTTCGGTCACAACAATTTTTTTGAATTAATTAAAATTTGGACCGAATTAGTAGGCATTTTTTCCAACCACACCACACGCGTCATCACGTTCAATAGCTGCACCATCACGTTCTATGGCTTCGTCATCACGTTCAGTAGCTAGGCGCGCAATGGTTTTTAGTCATGTAACTCTATTGTAAATAAAACATGTAAAATACTGAAATTTTTTTAAAATAAAAAACGTTTTAATAACTAACCAATGGTTTTACTAACCCTGCTCTTGATTTACGCTACGACAGAGCTATTTTTAGATAACATAAGGAAATTGCGCTAAAATTGTCACTAGACTTTTTAATTAACTTGTTTTCTCAGTTAAGTGAGAGTTCCCAGTCTATGTCTTAGCTTTGCTTGAAATATTTCTTTTAACTCGATGTCCGTGTATTTTGTGAAAAAATATCTGACTTTATTCCTAACTTGCCATATAGTCTATCTATAAATAGCCGTTGCTACTAGTCTGTTTTCGTCTTCTGTTCTTTGTCTAGTCGTGTTAATTGAATTAAGTGTAATTGCTTTATTTGTTGTGGCTGTTTGATTGGTGGTGTTTAATATTTTCGCAAGTGTTTGCTTTGCTTTCTGTACTAATATACAATCTAAATAAATGTGTTTCTCAGTTTCTTGTATATTTTGTTTACACGTTTGACATGTTATTATAACATTTTGATTTGACTTTGTATTTCGTGAAACTGGAGTTGTATTAAAAATCAGTCTGTATGCTACTTCCCTTTCTTTTGGTGTAATGCGTTTATTATGTAGGTTTCTAAATATATCTTTAATGTCTATTATATTGTGTTCCCTGGCCCAACTAATTCTCGTGTATAAGGGTGTCGCTTGTTGTTTGATTAGGATGTCGTATATTTTTTTTGTGTCTTCCCCAATAATGCTTTTGTTTCCTTGGAATGTTGCTAGCGTTTCTTTATAAAAGCTGCCTGTGTCATTTCCCCCATAGTGTGGTGTTATGATGTTTAATTTTAAAATGCTCTTTATGTTTAACCCAATGTAGTATTGTGCTAATGGATGATAATGTGGTTCTATCCTTATTCTATCCAGGTGTTTTAATCGGAAGGTGTTTATTTTAGTTTGAATGTCGTGTAGCCCTATACCTCCATTTAATTTATTTTGTATTAAGGTTTTGTGGCTAATGTTTCTAATCGTATTTTTGAAAATGAACTCTCTAATGTGCTTGTTTGTTTTTTTAATAAATGAGTTGGGTATTGTAGAGTTCGTCGCTACGAAAATTATTTTTGGAATGATATATCTGTTTACTAATGCAGCTCTGGCAAAAATGGTTGTATTGCAGTATTGGTATTTTTCCAGATTGTGATTTATTTTATTTTTCAGTGTGGTCCAAGTTTCTTCGTCGTTTATTGTGGGATCGCTAGTATAGGTTATTCCATAAATTTTGAGTTTGTCAGTTATTGTTATGTCTATGTGATAGTTATCTTTACCTTTCCATTTACCTATACCCATTACTTTTGATTTTTCTGCGTTTATTTTTCCCCCGCTCCCTTTCCCAAAGTTGTTGAATTTTTCTATTACAGTCTGTATTGCTTTTTCTGTTTGTACTAAGAAAGTAGTGTCGTCTGCGTATGCAAGTATTTTCTTGCCTACCGTGTTTGGAATGTACAGTCCTTTAATCGAGTTGTCCTGTCTAATGTTTTCTAGTAGGGGTTCTAAGCTTAGGATGTATAGTAGGGGAGATAAAGGACAACCTTGTCTAACTGATTTCTGTATGTGAAAAGCGCTTGTAACACTGTTGTTTATTAATAAATGACTATGTGCATTGTTATATATTATTTTTATCCATGTTTTAAAATAGTGTCCTAGGTTGTAAGCATCTATTGTTTTTATTAACCATGTATGATCTACTCTGTCGAACGCTTTCTGTTGGTCGATGCTAAGAAGCGCTAGTTGTGTGTCTTTCTGCTTGCTATAATGTATGATGTCTCTGATTAAGTGCGTGGAGACTATACTCAGAAGTAAAGAAATAATTATTAACGTGTCTTTTTAATGAATCATTGAAATTCAACACCCGATTTATAGGAAGTGACTTCTACTCAGGGTAAAGTGAAGAATACCTGACTATTCAACCATTAAATAAATGTTTTGAGAACCACCGATATTGTAAAAACCTAAGTTTACCAGGGTCTAAATTTGTTGATGATTTAAAGACACCAAACGTACCTCGTCTTTCTGCCTTATCACGTTCAGTTTTTATCGAACCACCCAACAAGCAGATTGCGAATGGAAATTGTTTTTGTCTCCCTTTCAATAAGACAGCAGATGGAAAATGTTTTTGTCTCCCTTGCAAGTAAATGGAAATTGTTTTTGTCTCCCTTGCAAGAAGACAGCAGATGGAAAATGTTTTTGTCTCCCTTGGTCTGTTTCGAGCCACACAATATATATGACAATAGGGAAAATCTGAATCGTATTTGTCTCCCCTGTGGCGCTAAACGGTTTTTAACGACTCGACCATGCAAGTTGTGAGCGTGCAGAACTCAACACTTGTTTTCTTGTAATGTCTTTAACTGAAGCCAGAGTTAGACATGTACCGCAATGTGTGTCACAAAAAACAGACATCTGATTAACAGATAAAACATTAGTGGCCTACGGACAACCTTTAGAGGTCCCAGTAATGGAAAGTCAGATTTGTTAGCTAGTAGATCTGTAGAATAGGGAAAGATTAAAATCACACACCATCCAGACCCTTCACGGCGCCTGGGGACAAACTTTTCGATTTGCACCCCTCCCCTTCAAGATTTCGATTTGCACACCCCCCCCCCCTCAAGATTTCGATTTGCATCCCCCCCTCAAACTTTTGATTTGCACCCCCCTCAACCTTTCAATTTATTTTTCCGACCCATTTTGGCGCCCCCTAAGGTCGGCGCCCGGGGACATGTGTCCCCACGTCCGTCCGTCCCCCCCCCCACCCCCCTCGCTACGCTACTGACATCATTTGGGGATTTTGAGAGGGGACACTAACCAAATATTATTTTGAGAAAAATAAAAATCTTGTAATATTGGTGTGTTCAAGTTAATTTATTGATTAACGATTTTATTTCGTAATAAAGAAGGAAATATACTGGCAACTGCCAAATCAGGCCTACACATCATGCACATCAATATATAATTGCGTGTTTGAGCGCGCAAAGGCGTTGGCAGGATATTTTACCACCCATCTCCTTAAACTGTTAGATCCGTTTAAGTATATAAGCCATAAAGCTAGGAATGGAAATAATTCTTCTGTAAACATGTGTCCCTTTGTATTCATAAAATATGTCCAATGTTTCATCAGGATTTTATAAAAAATACTCTTTTTAAAAATCTAACAACAGTTTACACCACCGATTTCATTTTTCGATCAGCGATCGATAATCGGGCGCCTAGTTTGAGCTTCACCGTGAGAATAGATTTCAAATCACAAAAATCGAAGCCTGCCTGTCGTCACGCAAGTGTGGATGGATTACACAGGAAACTGCTAAAAACTTGTTGCGTTGCCGAGGTTATTAAAAACTAGCCACCTTGTTAGTTAGCCAATCGATTTTTTTGTTCTAACGATTTTTTAGACCGCGTGTGGTCAATTAGTGTCCAGCTACTGACGTGCTGGTAATGTAGGGGTTTTAAACTATTGGATGAAGGGGTGGAGGAGGGGTGATAAATGACGTCACAAAATAGTCAGCGATCTCTGACATTGATGGGAAAATAATTTCCTCCCTAGTGTGCAGGAGTTTTAAAGTCTGCTAGGTTTTACATTTCATTTGGAACATCAGAAGTGCATCTATACACAATATTTAAAACTCAAAAACATTACAATCAAATGCGAATTTATTCCACTACATTCTCTTGGTTAAATCAACTACTTGGAGATTTATGAACGTTTCGTATGCTATTTTAATATTTGTAAATACACGTAAAAATGTTTTTGAGATTTTGATTCAGTGTGTTGTGACGTCATTAGGAACACACAAATACTGGCGGATGCGACGGAAAATGGCGGTGTTTCTGGTGGTCGTTTGGTCGCTGGTCAGCTCTGACGTCACGGAGAGCTCCGATGTTGACGTCTTGGAAAAATCTTCCAAACTTTTGGTCGTCTTGATGCAGCTGGAATACACACATATCACAGAGTTAATTCAAACTCTTTGATACCTGGGATTATGGTATATTGGAATTACCTGTGTGTTACCTGTTTCGGGCGAGTTACCTGTTGCACGTGACTCACCTGTTGCACGTGACTCACCTGTTGCACGTGACTCACCTGTTGCACGTGACTCACCTGTTGCACGTGACTCACTCACCTGTTGCACGTGACTCACTCACCTGTTGCAGGTGACTCACCTGTTGCACGTGACTCACCTGTTACACGTGAGTTGACCAATGATGTGGATGAGCCGCCTCCTGAACGAGGTGCTGGCGCAGACGTAAGACAAGAAGATGACGACGTCACTAAGCACCTGACAGACGACAAAAGCTCCGTCCAGCCTGGAACAGACGACGTACGTTTAGCGAATCACTTCATGGTTGTGTTTACTAATATGTGATCATTTATGTTTAAATTAAATCGATAATTTGTTTAATTAACTAATACGTTTTTTTTTATAAAACTGTTTTGACAGCAAAATATGAAAATACTAAAAAAAAAGTTTAATGGTAATGTTCTGGTAATCGTATTTTAATCTGGACAAACAAAAAAATCTGGCAAACACAGAAAGCGCTAAATCTTAAAAATTATAATGGTTAACGCAACGGCCTACGTTTGAAAGAATCTAGAAATGTAACGGTCAATGATTGAACAGTCAACGTTTGAAAGTATCAAGAAATGTTTGGACCTAAGCTGTAAACAATATCAATAAATGTAATGACCTACGTTTGAGAAAAAAAATCAACAAGTGTAACGGCCTACGTTTGAAAGTACCAAGAAGTGTAACGGCCTACGTTTGAAAGTACCAAGAAGTGTAACGGCCTACGACTGAAAGTACCAAGAAGTGTAACGGCCTACGTTTGAAAGTACCAAGAAGTGTAACGGCCTACGTTTGAAAGTAGCAAGAAGTGTAACGGCCTACGACTGAAAGTACCAAGAAGTGTAACGGCCTACGTTTGAAAGTAGCAAGAAGTGTAACGGCCTACGTTTGAAAGTAGCAAGAAGTGTAACGGCCTACGTTTGAAAGTAGCAAGAAGTGTAACGGCCTACGACTGAAAGTACCAAGAAGTGTAACGGCCTACGTTTGAAAGTAGCAAGAAGTGTAACGGCCTACGACTGAAAGTACCAAGAAGTGTAACGGCCTACGACTGAAAGTACCAAGAAGTGTAACGGCCTACGACTGAAAGTACCAAGAAGTGTAACGGCCTACGACTGAAAGTACCAAGAAGTGTAACGGCCTACGACTGAAAGTACCAAGAAGTGTAACGGCCTACGTTTGAAAGTACCAAGAAGTGTAACGGCCTACGTTTGAAAGTAGCAAGAAGTGTAACGGCCTACGTTTGAAAGTAGCAAGAAGTGTAACGGCCTACGACTGAAAGTACCAAGAAGTGTAACGGCCTACGACTGAAAGTACCAAGAAGTGTAACGGCCTACGACTGAAAGTACCAAGAAGTGTAACGGCCTACGACTGAAAGTACCAAGAAGTGTAACGGCCTACGACTGAAAGTACCAAGAAGTGTAACGGCCTACGTTTGAAAGTACCAAGAAGTGTAACGGCCTACGTTTGAAAGTAGCAAGAAGTGTAACGGCCTACGTTTGAAAGAGATAATGCTCCTTCTTCTTGACGCCATACGTGTCGAGGTGGAAAGAGACGAGGTGGTTGATGTTGGAGGGCAGGGAGAAGATGAAAAACAGGAAGGTCGAGGTCAGAACAACGGCGTTGGCCTGCATCTCCCGCCCCCGTCTGTCCTGACGGTTGGGGAACACCATCTGGGTCAGCTTCATGTGACGCTTGAGGGACACCACCATGCCGATGTTTGCCAGGGCGCCAACGGTCAGGGGCAGGTAGACCAGGACGTACCTGGGGATAAAAGGAAGTCTTCAGCGAACAGATGGCAACAAAACACATTTGTTATGGTTTTCAGCATCGATTGCTGGGTGTGGATTGTCTTTCATTCCTTTTAAAAAAAAACAACGGGCAAACGATAAATAATGATGTAGGATATTACTGACTCTCTTTTCTGTTGATTCCCTCTTCCCCTGTCGATTCTCCCTTCCCTTGTCGACCCCCCCCCCGAACAAATGCCTGATAGTAACTCTGGCCATGATTTCGTTGCGTCATACATATGTTATAGTCATACAAAATCTCCCCCCCCCCCCAATACACACGTCCAATGGAGGCACCATGAGCAAATTGACTTATCTTGAAGCTAGCACATGAATACCTGCAGACATAGACAAGACACTTATAAACGATGCTTAGATCAACTTACATAGAAGCTGAAGCTATAGCATTAAAAATGTGGGTGTGTTCTAATGACAGACTGGTCTGGACGATGGTGTAGGTCCCGTTCTGACTGGCCACGCCGTACTTGACGGGCAGGTAACCGTGGACCAGTAGAGAGATGACCACAGCCGTGATGCACACAGGCAGGGGGCTGGCTATCAGGCACAGGTTCTTGGACCTGGAGCAGAGAAAAGTTTCAAGGGGCTTGTGACGTCAGAATCATCTAAAATTAGTAATATTTATTTTCCCCGGAACTACAAGTCAAGAAAACGGTAGTACGGATGCGCCGAGCACTGTTTTATGAATAACTGTCTGAAATATCATCACTGATAGTATGGCATTGATGTGTTAGTCCTAATGCTTCAAAAGTCTGATAGAGATTCATATAATTCAAGATGATTTCCATAATCTACATGATTTCAGAAATGGCTGGATTATTGGTTGGAGATAATAACCAAACGTGACGGAGCTAAAGATGTGTGGGCTTGTATGAGCTAAAATGTTTTTATTTGTTTGCCGTAACATTTATATGACTTGACCGACCTGAAAAAACAATGGACGTGACTAAATTGTTTTTGTGATTTATTTGAATGTGTTTGCTTACTTTTGACGTATTAGACTGACCACATGACTTTCTTGACTGACCACCACGACTTACATCACTGACCAACACGACTCACATGACTGACCACATGACTGATGACTCACATGACTGATGACTCACATGACTGATGACTCACATGACTGATGACTTACATGACTGACCACATGACTTACTTGACTGGAAATGCCACAACCAAAAACCTCTGTACGGCCAGTAGACAGTTGAGGCTGTAGAGTGACCGTCTACACGCCACACCCAGGTATGTGGTTGACCACAGCTTGAAGTAGGCATAGACCACACTTGTGGCGCACATGTTGCCGAAGCTGCACACCTGCACATTGGCCGGTGGAAAAGTTGCACAGTTTAATTTTTATAGCTCATCATGTAAATTATTTGTATCTCCCCGGGGGGGGGGGGTGGAGGCGGACAATGGTAAAAGTATATATCTATCTATATATATAATTCTCTTCTGGGAGCCGTTAGAAAACAAGCTGCAAGCGCCTCCGTGAAGTCCCCTCTCTTTCTCTCTATCACTATCACTACCACCCCCACCCCACCCCCACATTGTCTGGTGAGTTGTGGTCACGCCAAATGTTTACAAAGCTAAATGTTTACAAATCGTAGAGCCGTAGAGCCGGGTTTCTATTAGGGTCAGATAATTTAGTTCGATTTAAACTTACAGGAGGTAACTAAGAAATAACTAAGAGGAGGATGCTTTCACGGGGGGGGGGGGGGGGGGGGTGTAGGGTCGGAGTTAGGGGAAAGGTTGGGGGGGGGGGGTTAGTGTTTTAAAGCAAATATTTTCAGTGGCAGCATTTGGTACTGTCAAATTCACAAATTATGAATTACTGAAAAGTAGAAAATAAAACAACTAAATAGCGGCGTATGATACGCTGCGGGTCGGCTCGTTTTCTATATTAACGTTATTACATCGAGAGGGGGGGCACTCCCCGAAGAGATGCCTGAAAGAAACTCTCGATGGGACAGGCCGTAAGAAAATTAACATGAAAGATCTTTATCCTTGCGGATGTAAGTGTATATAAAATATAGTTACACGAATCAGAGTTCACGATAATGCCGTAGTTGTATTAGTTTGCCTTAGATTGAGTGAACATGAAAATGGTGACCCATTTAGTTTACCTGATAGACCGTTAATCTGGACTACCGGTGCCATAGTAACGTTGTTAGTTTACCTGAAATCCGTTGTCATGGTGACGCTGCTAGTTTACCTGAAATCCGTTGCCGTGGTGATGCTTCTAGTTACCTGAAAGACCGTTAGCATGGTGACGTTGTAAGCCTCGCTCAGGTTCCAGGCCACGAGAAAGGAAGTGCTGGGGTTGCGCATGCTCTTGCTCAGGAAAATGGCGGCGCTGAGCACGAGAAAGATCACTGACAGCGGCTGTCCTGGAACAAGTAAAAGTCAGTGACATGGCGTGGTTACTGTTGCCATTTGTATTGCTTCTTATGTGTGTGTGTGTGGGGGGGGGGGGGGGGGTCTAGTATGTGAATACAGATAGAGCGAGGTCTCCCCTAAACTTTCTTGTATATTCGTATGTAACAGTAAGGATTAAGATGGTACTCCCAGTGGATCGGTCAATAGAAATAATTGTAAGTAAGCTTGTGACAAAAACGATAATAACACAGAAATCACGGGCCTTAAAATATCACTGACATTAAAACCACTGACATTGGACAAAAGACCCATACATTCACCATACCAACCACAGATCAAAAGACCTATACTTTCACCTACCAACCATAGATCAGAAGACCCATACATTAACCTACCATCCATAGATCAAAAGACCCATACATTCACCTACCAACCATAGATCAGAAGACCCATACATTAACCTACCATCCATAGATCAAAAGACCCATACATTCACCTACCAACAACTTTTACCCACGTGAAGATTTCCTTGTAGAACTCATACACTTCCGGTGTGACGATGCCACCAGCGAAAGGTGTCGCCACCAGACTCCTGTTCAGGTACTTCACTTCCGGTACTGAGGCGCTGGTCTCGTGTTCCACACAACAACCAGTGTCTGTATAGTGGCTTTCGTTCACTAGCATTATCTGGCAACATAGTCACACAGCATTATCTGGCAACATAGTCACTCTTAGCATTATCTGGCAACATAGTCACACAGCATTATCTGGCAACATAGTCACACTTAGCATTATCTGGCAATATAGTCACACTTAGCATTATCTGGCAACATAGTCAAACAGCATTATCTGGCAACATAGTCGTTTAAGCGTTATCTGGCAACATAGTTATAGTTAACATTATCTGACAACATAGTCGTTTAAGCGTTATCTGGCAACATAGTCATAGTTAACATTATCTGGCAATATGGTGATGATTACAATTATATATCAATATTGCGATTGTCAGCAAGATATGGCAATTGAACTGACCATACATCTCATCCATCGTTCGTTTGATCCTGCGGATTGCACGCGCGGTCAATTAGTGCAATTTTTTTTACCTTCACTAAAGGCCCAATGGCGTCACTAGGTGGGATGACACCCTGTGCGGTAACCGAGGGCGTCGTCCCCCTTCGAGAACAGCTATTTGTACGATATAGTAAAACTATAAGCAACTTGGTGTCACCCCCACCCAGGATGGTGTACCCTGCTCGTAATAATATCTTTAATAAGCTATCAAGCCAACTGCAAAAACAGACTTTCCCTTTAAAATTATATTTCCATTTGGTGTCACCCCCTTAGATGGGGTCAACCGGTGCGGCCGGCACCCCGCCCCCGCTCAGTCAACGCTCAATCAAAATTTTTTATACATTTCTATCAACCAATGTTCAATTAATTGTCATAATTACTTTATTACGTCACTGTGTATTAATAGCTACATTTCTAACAAAAGGAAATCCCTAATCAGCTAAATACTCACGCAAGATATGAACGCAGGTAACCACAAATAAAACAAAACAAAATGGCTACACAACACTAGATCTAGTCCTGTGGTGTTTTTTAAACGACGGAAACGATTGGCCAGTTTGTTGTAAGATTCTCAGCTCTACTCACTGTGGTCAACATCGTCCACTCCCGTCTGCCTTGTGCGAGTCGTATGTTGGTGGCGGGAAGAGATGGGGGGGGGGGCATTCCTGTCAAGATGGTGAAGATGATGCTATGGTGGGGGGGGGGGGGGAGGGGGATTCCAGAATGATTCCGGTGGCTAGTTTAAACAACAAAGTGTTTGTTTTGTTATCTAATTAATTAAGTAGCGTCTAATTAACGAGTTCCGCTACAATTCAATATCACGTTCTCTCGATGCGATATCATTACATGAAGACGCTTGTGGCGGCCAGTGGTCAATATCCAACCTGGTTGTATAGAGTGCCGTGTCTAATCTTTTATCCATCTTTACACTGACATTAACGGCTTGCTTGCGTCAGTTTCATGCTTGCGTCATAGCATCGTGTCACCAGTCTCTGTCATCGTGTCACCATGACATTGTGTCACCAGTATCCACCATTACATTGTGTCACCAGTCTCCACCATTACATTGTGTCACCAGTCTCCACCATGACATTGTGTCACCAGTATCCACCATTACATTGTGTCACCAGTCTCCACCATGACATTGTGTCACCAGTCTCTACCATGACATCATGTCACCAGTATCTGTCATCACATCGTCTCACCAGTCTCTACCATGACATCTTGTCACCAGTCTCCACCATGACATCGTGTCACCACACTGTTCATGACATCATGTCACCAGTCTCTGTCATCAATTCATGTCACCAGTCTCTGTCATAATATTGTGTCACCAATCTCCTTGTGGTGTAACTGCATTCAGTGAACCATAAATTATCTTTAAAGACTCAACCACCGTGTTCTAGACTTTTGAAGTCTCGCTAACTCACGTTAAACGAGAGTGCCAAATGGCGGGAATTGTATCGCAGCTACACATTACTTTAAAACCAGCATCTGAAGAATGTCCTAATATTTGAAGTAAAATCTCAATATTGGGTGTGAAATCAAATGTCATGTGTATTTAGTTTGAATTTGTTTGCCTGTTTGTTTTTTACTGTAAAATCTCCTTCGTCATCTTTGGATCGATGTTAAGACCTGAGAACTTATAAAGGCCAACGTTCGAAGATAAGGACATTAATTAGCTGGCCTAATGATGGAGCAGGCAAACAAGGGCTGATAAGATTCTTCAGATGTGGCCGCCTTTCATTAATACAATTTTACGTCGAAAAATTAAGTACATTTTTCCGACACACTAGAACAAAAAATAAGAAAGTCTTTCAGCGCCTCCCTCCCCCCCCCCCCCATATTTTTTAGTGTCCAGATTTTAACAGCTTTATTAATTACTGGCCGGAAATAAATTATGTCCTTCCCGGAATATGTTATAGTAGTTTATGTAGAAAATTAATACTTTTACCATCAGGAAGACGGAAGGGTTATAAAGAGATTTAAAGACAGTTTTTAAACAGGGCATGTAGCGAGATGTGTAGGGGGGAGGGGGGGGGGGAAGATTTGTTTAAAAAAACATTTATGATCGACGGTAGCAAAAGTTCACCCAAATATTTTAAGGTATGTTTTAAGTATTATTTAAATTCAATTCAATTACTAATTAAAAAAGAAACTTGGTGTTATAACCGACTGGGACTTAATAAATTGTGGTAAATTGGCCAAAATATGATAATATTAAATAATGTTATACACCAAGTGTCTTTAGCACTGGAGAGCCGTAGGTTAAGGTAGCAGTGTTTCTTCCAGACCTTTTTTCTCCGTGGTGCACTTGAAATTTTCGGGGGGGGGGGGCGGACACCCTCAAAAGTATATATTTCCTATATAAATTCCATTTCGTTCGGGGAGCGGTAGACTTTCTTCGGGGTGGGGGAGAGATGCCTGGAAGAAACTCTGTAAGGTAGTGATAGTTAAAAAATTCATTATAACAAGATTGAGATGGACGATGTCAGTCAACTGAACAAGGTACACAACTGAGTGTACTGTCGAATCTGTTTAAATAATTGAATTGTTTCCCTTTGAATGGTAAGGTTGTTACACAAAAATTATTGTAGACGGCGTATTATTTAGAAAATTTTAGGGTGCTTATCACTAGCTCGACAAGCTGTGTTTAAACTTTGTGTTTAAATCATGTGTTTAAATCGTGTGTTCATATAGTTGTGTTTATAATCCCCATAAAATGTTAAATTCTTCTCTAGCTGACTACCCCCAAATGACCTTCAAATCTGCTGCCTAACCTTGAAACACTGATATGACCTTGGCGACTAAATTAAGTACCCCATGAAGTTCACGTATGCAGATCAACAGCTAATCAGGGATTAACTAAAGCAATGTAATACACTAATTAGCGAAGTGGTAAGTGAATTAACAGACTTGGTGTGTGTGCTGTGAGATGTTGTACAAAAAAAACAAGGCACACGCCATAGGGAACTGATGCCAAGAATTGCAGACCTAACCGGCATAAGAACAAAAGACAAAACAGGACAAATGTGCCAGATTTTTTATGATCACCGAGAAGAAACATACCAGCTCACATAATATCAGATCTAGAATGTTTTCTTATTGTGCCCTATCAACGTTCATGTTTAAAATTAGAAATGCAGTTTATAGATTTTAAACTTAAGTCAGTCATTGGTTTATTGGATGCCATGGGAGTATGGCTGCAGTTATGATGGCTTATAACTGTCTCCTGTAATGAATGATTAAATAGCCATCTAGCTGTGGTGTAGTACTCCACCTTCCGGGCCGTTTACTTGGTAAACTTGTTACACCCCCCCCCCTCCCCACTTATACTCAAAGTGTTTTACACCACTAAAATGATGAACTTAAATATTTAAGTTGATGTAACAATTATATACACACACACACACACACACACATATATATATATATATATATATATATATATATATATATATATATATATATATATATATATTAATATATATATATTAATATATATTAATATATATATATATGTGTATTTATATGTATAGGTAAATAATATATAGCCCTCTAGTTGTGCCTGTACCGGGACCCTAATTCTACCCCCTTCCCCCCAGTGGCCCGTGTGACAACCCTTAAAACGTGTTACGGCATTCTCTTTCCACTCCCCCCCCCCCCCCCCAGTGTTGACTTTAAAACAGAAAACCAACAAAAAAAATCTTGAAAACAACGCAAGAAGCACGGACGCCGCACCGATATTGTGTTGACAGGGTTTCCCTGATGGACTCTCCGATTCGGGAATTTTCCAGGAAACCTGCGGCTGTCTTTGACAGGGGCAGGTATGTGACGTCATGTGTAGGTAGCCCAGAGATTTGCTACCCCCCCCCCCCTCGAACTTTTCATTTGCACCCCCCCCCCTCAAACTTTCAATTTGGCGCCCCCCCTAAGGTCGGCGCCCGGGGACATATGTCCCCCCCCCCCCCCCCGCCCATGTGTCCCCCCCCCCCCCCCGCTCCCCCCCCCCCCCCTAGCTACGCCTTTGAGGTAGCCCACGTGACTATTTTTGCTCGTCAAATTTTATGTTTTATAATTTATATCGTGCTAAACAGCCGTATAATTATAGTTAATTGCCCAATTTGACTACATGAACACCATCTCCTCAACTAGCGAGTCAAATAAAGTTTTTTTTTTTTTTTCGGTCAAGTAAAATGTATTCTAATACTAGATCGCAAGTGATTGGTTTAAGTTACTAAATAACTTTGTTGTGATGCAGTAATCAATGTAGCTATTAGTCAGTTTTAGTCATTAGTCAGTTTTAGTCAAAGACCATCTCAGTGGTCATTTTAAGCTTGCTTGGAGGAAAATGTTAATTTGCATGATTGTCAAATGACCTTGATCTTTGAACCATTAGATTAACCTTTCATTACTTGTAGCTGGGGGGGGGGGGAGTGTAATTACTCTACAATTATTTTCAGGGATTTTCACGGTGTGTGGGTGGGGGAGGAGATGTGGGTGTATAAATGAGACTTGAACGCGGATGGGGGGGAGTTTAAAATTCTAACTAAGTCCACTTCATCAACGAAAGTTCTATTGTCAAAGAAGAAAAAAACCAGCCCGGGAAGAAAATGTTAAATTCTTTGGACTGAATGGATGCCAAATAGATGTTGTTTGTACAGGGGGGCAGTGACGCAGTTTCTTAACTAAATGGACTCTGTGTGAGATCACGTGACTAAATGGACCTCTGTGTTAGGTCACGTGGCTCAGTGAGACGCCATGGCCAGAACAATAATGTCGTTGAGCTGAATGTTTTGATTGGTCAGCTGTCTGACAGACGAGCCGCTATTGGTCAGCTTCAGAAAACGGACGTCACGAAAGACAATTTGTTTCGTTATTTAAGAACTGTACCGCATTTCATGTTTAGGAATACTCCATGCGAGAAACTTAAAAATTTGAATCAAATCTCCAATTACGTTAATGATTAATTAAAAGTTTTTAAGATGAAAGAGACTTTACTCACCGCTGTAATGGTTGGTTCATCCGGGTATCGCCACGGTAGAGCGAGATAGGTCCATCAGTTGGTCTGGATCTAATGAGACCCTCATCACATGCCTCCCTCCCCGGGACTGCTCCGCCCTCTGATTACCTAAGCTGATTGCATTGTTTCTGCTGAACCTAGTGCACCTTCAGCAAACTGGGCCGTCCAAAAGTCATTATCAATATGCTGGCAGCAAATTTGGCCGTCTAAAAGTCATTATCAATATGCTGGCAGCAAATTTGGCCGTCTAAAAGTCACAATCAATATGGTAGGAGCATATTTGGACGTCTAAAAGTCATTATCAATATGCTAGGAGCATATTTGGACGTCTAAAAGTCATTATCAATATGCTAGAAGCTGATCTGGTCGTATAAATGTCATTATCAATATCTTATACATGATGATTTTGAACTCCACTATTTGATAATCACACAGATGGTAGTCAATATAAAGGAAGGCATTAACAATTGGGTTAATATCAGGTAGGATTATCCAGGATTGAGTGTATATTGGCTATAAGACATCTTAGTTTGGGTTAGAGCCAGGTCAATACGAGGCTATCCATTATATCGATACCAGCCATGTTATCCATTATATCGATACCAGTCAGATTATCCATTATATGGATACTATCCATGATATCAGTCAAACCGACACTTGCCAGATGTTATGTCTGGATTAGCACAATGGTATCCATGGTACATAATTAGGTACTAAAGTTACTCTTTCGAACCTTGTTGTCCATGGAGCAGATGAAGTAGAGCTCACCTGTTTCTATACCGTCAACTAATGATAGTGTGATCAGCAGTGTGCCAGGCATCCTTCACTTTCCATAACATCAAATACCGTCAGAGCTGGGTCGACTCGAGCCCCTGAGCCAGAAAATAATTGAGTGGAAAATTTGAATAATTAAAAATAAACAGAGATAAGTTGGCAGCAGTGATGGCCCCTACATCAAGTTAAGTTCACAGATTATAAAGGTCTTTTCTACCAAAACTCGCTTTGTTGGTAAATATGTGTGGAGCATACAAGTGTGGTAAACATGTATAAAGGTGTGGTAATGATGTATCAAGGTGTGGTAAAAATGTATGAAGGTGTGGTAAAGATGTATCAAGGTGTGGTAAGGATGTATCAAGGTGTGGTAAAGAAAGATTTATAAAAATGTAAAGCTATGTAGCATAAGGTTGGTAAAGATGTATACAATACACTGTATAAAATAATACTTTCGTGCTTGATTTCTGTTGTGGTTTTTTAATTAATTCTAAAATAATTAATTGGACCAATGACCACACCCCAGGTCCCCTGCCCACCCCGACCAGTCCCTCCATCCTCCACCAACTATCAGACAACAACACGACAGCAGCAATAAGAGCTCACCAAGTTTTACACCAGTATAAAATTGTCTATTGTAACAAAACCGACTGCTGGGATATGTGTGGTTTGCTGAAAGTCTAAGTGTGGCGGGTGGGGGACGTCAAAAACTTGCGAGAGCAAACACAGTTAAGCACATTGTGAAGTAGGTAGGAGAGCCATTACTTGAGGGTAGGACATAGGCTTACCGTGGGCTTACCGTGGGCTTACCGTGAACTGGTGATCACCCTAAGTACATCCAGCTAAAACACTGCCTCTATTATCATATTTGTTTAAGATTCGTTAGGAGGGGAGGGCAGGATGTGAATGCACACATTGCCTTATAAGGAGATGTAGTTGCTGGTGCAGCAGGGACGCTCACAGATGGCGTCTTCATCTGTTGGTGACTGCTCGGTCAGCTGCTTTCTTACATGGTTATTTCGCTGGTGACGTCATCGCACCTCATTGGTGGTGACGTCATTACACCTCATTGATGGTGACGTTATAACACTGTGTGTGTGTGTGTCGTTTTTTTTTGTTGACGTCGTATACTATAATCGTAATAAATCAATTATTAATGGAATTATCATTTTTATTTTTTAAAATATAATTGGTTTAATTTTATACAGTAAACATTATTAGGTATGTTATTTTAGATGTCATTATGTAAAAAAATTACATTTATAAAAGAATGACTTGATTTCAACCAGGGGTTAACTAATCTATAACAAGATGAATGAAACATTTAATCCGTACACTTAACTGTCTTTCGTTAAAAAGTGGTGAAACTATCAGGCTGAGCTTAACAAAAAAAATATCGCACAAACGTGAAGTGGTTCATACTTACCATGTATGTTTGTTACATATTATTGTAAGAATTGTTTAGATATGCACAATTGTCATTCATTATGTTTGTTAGCTATTATTGTTAGGATTGTTTACATATGCACATTTGTAACCCATTATGTTTTTACCTATTATTGTACGAATTGTTTAGATATGCACAATTGTCATTCATTATGTTTGTTAGCTATTATTGTTAGAATTGTTTACATATACACAATTGTAATCCATTATGTTTGTTACCTATTATTGTTAGAATGGTTTAGATATGCACAATTGTCGTTCATTATGTTTCTAACTAGGTGACTCTCAGCGCGTGTGTAGGTCTCTCCATCCATGTGTGACTCATTACCTGGTTCTGACTCTCTACAAGTATGTGACTCTTTACCTTATGTGACTCCCAACCTGTTTATGACTCTAAAGTGACTCCTTACCTGGATATGACACTAACTTTCTATTTGAATGTAATTTCCCTTGCATATGTGACGTCATCTCTACTTGTACGAGACTCTATGTCTGTTTTACTCTATGTATATGACTCTCTACCCGTGAAAGACTCTGTGTACGACTCTCTACTTGTGTATACTTCACCACCTATGTATGTTATTCTACATATCTGTCTTTTCGCCTGTATATGTCTCTCCACCTGTGTATGACTCTGTACCTGTATGCGACTCTACACCTGTGTGTTACCCCACATGTATGACTCTCTATGTGGGACACCCAACCTGTATGTGAACTAAAACGTTAAAGCTGAATGCCCCACGCCTACATAGACCGACCAACGTATTACAGTGTAGTAAACAACCTATTAGTATGTACTCCACATTGTGAACATGGGGTGGGAGGGGTTTTGTGGGTGGGGGTATGTGGGTGGGGGTATGTGGGTGGGGGTATGTGGGTAGGGTATGTGGGTGGGGGTATGTGGGTAGGGTATGTGGGTGGGGGTAATGTGGGTGGGGGGTGGGGGTGAACTAATCCCAGATTACCCTCTTTATTAGCTCTAGAGGTTGTTTTTCTCCCCACTATCTTGCACAAACCGGCGTTGACGGATGTGTGTGTGTGTGTGCGTGTATGTGTGTGTGTGTTGGTGTACTTGGTTGGGGCGGGGTGGGGGTGAAGTGGCCTACAGGTGAGAGTATCAAGACTCACGGTTCCTTTAGATCTGTCTCTCGCACGTGAAAAATGGGGCTCCAGCAGTACTCACTCCTGGCAGAGAAAACTAAACGTAGGGGGGGGGGGGGGTGCTGTTACATGTCTTAGCTTAGGTCTGCTCTTTTGATGTGTACATAACGTGTGTACAAATACATGTCTTGTATGTGAACGTATGACGTGTTTGTACATCAGTTGTGTATGTGTATATCAGTCACGAATCTGTGCATCAGTCATGCATGTTTTATTAGTTGTGTATGTGTACATCTATGTGTTTATCACATGTGCATGTGTACCAACGTATACTAATTTACACTAATGGTGTATAATATATACTTGATATATGAATACTTTGTATAAAAACAGTAAATTCCCTCCAACATTACTCGCATACCAACTTGAGATATGTACACTCTCTGTACGCTACTAACACTCTATTCTCCCCACCTACACACACTGTGTACCACGTACGCACTTGTACAAGACTCCCAGCACACAGTCAAGCCAGATTTCCTCAGTATCAAACTTGCCCTTCCCCTTTCACCGGTTATTTCCCTTGCCTCCCTTCCCACCATTGAAATCTATAAATAGTTGCTCAAATAGTTCGGTGTAACAGGTTTTTGCATATTTTTAAAACCAGGAAACTCAAAAAAAAACATTCTGCCATCATTCAGTGAATATCTCACTGCTTGACTTCACTTTTTTGTAACACAAGACTTAAACATAACTTACAACTTTTTACTACTGACACATGTGCACCTTGACATCTATTATAGACTTAGTATATACCACTGTATACTACTGATAGCATCATACTAATGAGACCAACACATTTCTGACATCAACACACTACTGACATCTACACACTACTGACATCTACACACTACTGACATCTACACACTACTGACATCTACACAGACACCCACGCGCCTGGGCAGCACCGACTGATATACAGATAGTACAAGTTGTTTATAAGTTTCTTGAATCTTTCTACTAGCCCTCGCCCCTTCGTCCCTCTTCCCCCCCCCCCCTGTATTATTTCAACGTTGGACAACTCGCGCAGCTGAAATATGATCAGGTGACCTCTTGCCTGCTGGTGGGGTCACGGCTTGCTCACTCTTCACACATCACACCTCACACTTCACTAGTGATGTCTCGCACTTCACTCTTTTTGCTTCACACCTCACTCTTTACGCCTCACACCTCACTTTTTTGCCTCACTTCAGAGTTGCAAACGTGCTTCATATTACTTGGCTTCAAACATGGATGTACACTTTACGGCCTAATAGCATACTTTACTTCATGGCCACACAATATACTTTACTTCATGGACACACAATATACTTCACTTCATTGCCACACAATATACTTCACTTCATGGCCACACAATATACTTCACTTCATGGCCACACAATATACTTCACGGCCACGCAATATACTTCACTTCATGGCCACACAATATACTTCACTTTATGGACACACAATATACTTGACTTCATGGTCACACAATATACTTCACTTCATGGACACACCATATACTATAGTACATGGCCACACAATATACTTCACTTCATGGCCACACAATATACTTCACTTTATGGACACACAATATACTTTACTTCATGGCCACGCAATATACTTAACTTCATGGCCACACAATATACTTCACTTCATGGCCACACAATATACTTCACTTCATTGCCAAACAATATACTTTACTTCATGGCTACACAATATACTTAACTTCACGGACACACAATATACTTCACTTCATGGCCACACA